AAAGAGAGGAGATATGATTACAACTTACAAGATACTGAGGAGAGTGGATAAGGTGGACAAGGATTGTCTCTTCAGATTGAGAAAGCAGTATCAGAGGACATAGGTAGAAGTTGGAAGCGTAAATGAGCCGAAGGGACGTAAGAAAGTATTGGTACCCTGTACGGGGAGTTAACAAGTGGATTCCTCTAAAAGAGAAAGTTGTGGAAGCCACCTCCAGCCTCGACTTTAAGGCCAGTGTCGACAAAGGCTTCGAACGTCAAAATAGTTACATTATAATACAACAGGGCTAGTAGGCGGGACACAGAGCTAGACCTCACTTCCCCCGTAGACATTGATAGGTAAGTACGTACACACACACACACACACACACACACACACACACACACACACACACACACACTCACTCACTCACTCACTCACTCACTCACTCACACTCGTACACTCTCACACTGTGTGTAGCCCTGTTGTACTGTTGTACTGTGCGTGCTCACCAACTAGGTGAGTACACACACACACACACACACACGGTATCAAGAGTAAATATAATTAAAGCAATGTTGAGCGGTAGATATTGCATTAAAACAAAGAAGTTTTAAGATGGGTCAGGAGCTGAAACCCGACGCCAAGCTTCGTGTGTGTGTTGTGTGCGTGTGCGCGTGTGTGTGTGTGTGTGTGTGTGTGTGTGTGTGTGTGTGTGTGTGTGTGTGCGTGTGTGTGTGTGCGTGTGTGTGTCCGCGTGTATGTGCGTGTGTGTGTCCGCGCGCGTGTACAAAAGAGCAGGAAGGTATCATTGCCTCGTTCCACTCATCGTCCCAGGATGGGATCATGACACAAGGGACTTGAACAGAGGAGCATACTTCCGGTGCCGAGTATTACGGCAGGTTGGCAGGCCTTGGCTACACCACCGAAAGAACATATTAATACTGTATAGGAAATGTCAACACGTCTATTGGCTCATACGAGTAGGATCTTGTGTATATATATATATATGGTTGTCAGAGATAAGTCTTCAGACCAGCTGTTAAGTAGTGACATCTTGGCTCCCGCCCTCGCTACCCTGATCCGCTGGGTGTCAGGGAGCACCCCCACCTGTGCCCTGTGAACCCCACCTGTGCCCTGTGAACTGTGAACTTTCTCTCTCAACCCCCTGATGTAACCCCCCTCACCTGCTAACCCCCCACCCCCCTTCCTCCACTTATTCAACCCCCCTATCCACTATGGTCCCTACCTTTCCTCATTCCTGTTCCCCTTCCCCTTGACCAAGACCCTCATTTTCCTCCCTCTAACCCCTTCCCTTCCCTCCCACTCTCCCTCCCATGCCCCTCCCACTCTCCCTCCCATGCCCCTCCCACTCTCCCTCCCATGCCCCTCCCACTCACCTGCGGGCTATGCACGACTCTCCCTCCCCCCCCTCCCGTCCGCTCCCCCGGCACCCGCCCGCATACTGACGTAACGTCATGAGTTTCTCCCTCAGTTGTAATGCTTTGTTTTATATCCAGTTTTAGTCCTGTAGGGAGTGGGCAAGGAGCTTGTGTTGCACATTGTGCTGTGCATCAACCCTGTGTTGCACTTGCCGTAACATTATCTGAAATATTACGAGAGTCTGAAGTGTAGATGTGGCACCAGCTGCTCGATAATGGCGGGTCCCCCATTGGGTATATAAAGGCGCGCTGAGCGCGGCTGCGCACTATCCTGGCTAAGAGGCCGCCGAGTGCACCTTCTGCGTTGCTGTCGCCTGCTGTCTTCCTGTGTGACCTGCTACGCGTCCTGCGCCCCCCCACGTCTGGACCAGCAGCACGTGCTCTCACTCTAGCTCGTCTTGACAAGTTATTGGTCGAGTGTTACTGTCCCGCCGTCAGAGATGGAGGCTAGCAGCAGCACCAAGGACATTGACAGCCGCATACTGCTCGCTCCCGTCGTGGTGCTCCTCTACCTGGTGGTGGTCTTGGAGAACTACTTCGTCGAGAACACCGCCTTCAGCTACATTTTCCAGATGTAAGGGGCCCTCCTGTGCCTACGGGAACAGGAGGGGGGGTTGAAGCTAAGGTGTGGTGAAGAAGCGGTGACTTGTACAAGTCTCTCAAGGCAAGACCCGTCCCTCCCTGAAAAACTAAATCATCATGGAATCCTGCGTGGCCTTCCGGACAGAGAGCGGAGTGCCTCGGCGCCCCGGCATTGTCTCCAACACCGGCGACACTCACAAGTGTGACGGCTGCAGCAACGCGAGTGAGTGCTGGAGGAGCAGTGTGACGAGTGTGTCCGAGGGGCGCCGAGACCAGCTGCTGGGAGCACCAGGCGGCAAGTGTGTTACTCCCGACGAAGGCGGCTCCTGCTGCTACTGCTGTCAGCCTCCCGGTGTGAGGTGGCTGACGACGGACTGGAGGAGTTGGATCCCCGTCGAGGTCAGGGGACCGCTGCTGACGGTGCTGATGCTGCTCGTGGTCTCTCTCTTCCTCGAGGGCTACGTCTCCGAGGCCGTGGTATTTAAGTACGTCTTCCAGATGTAGAATTAAACCCTCTCAAGGCGTCCAAACACAGCCTGCCCACTAGTCTTGTAAGGCCAGTTTTATATAGCAAAATATTTTTATACATTGTTATTATTTATATAAAAAATTAAAATATAACTGTTTTTGTTCACCCCTTTGTGATGTATGGTTCTAGTCACGAGTGACTACCGACTCGAGGAATGATAAAGGTTATGAACACAGAATTTACTTAATGACTTTAATGCGATATAATCAAAATAATACTAGATAAGTATAAATAATATACACAATCGACTTGAGAATGGTCCAGGACGGACCGAAACGTCGTCGTCCCTTCACTTTCTAGTGTGTGGTCTGGTCAACATGCACGTTAATGTGACTCCTCGTCTGCAAAATAATACTAAATGCAGAAATTATATGCATTAACTTTACTATTTCTTTGCGATGATAAGGTGTGATAATTAGGTGGAGTGCCTTGCCTTGTGCCACAGCGAAGGTCTTGCCCAGCGCCACTGAAGGTCTTGCCCAGTGCCACTGAAGGTCTTGCCCAGTGCCACTGAAGGCCTTGCCCAGTGCCATTGGAGGCCTTGCCCAGTGCCACTGGAGGCCTTGCCCAGTGTCACTGGAGGCCTTGGCCAGTGCCACTGGAGGCCTTGCCCAGTGCCACTGGAGGCTTTACCCAGTGCCACTGGAGGCCTTGCCAAGTGCCACTGAAGGCCTTGCCCAGTGCCACTGGAGGCCTTGCCCAGTGCCACTGGAGGCCTGATCGGCTTCTCTAGGCTGGAGATGGGGAGTGGTCTGAAGACCTGACACACACAGCGGTGCAAAGTTAAACACAGTAGACCAGGAACGGCCATTAAACACGCTGAGTGAGTGTCCGTATTTGAGTATTGTAGTGATGACTATGTTGGTAATTAGTTCACGAAACACAGTGTCTTGGGGCACTCTTAACCCAAGACCTGGGTGGGGGGAGTCTTGGGACGCCGCCCTGCGGGTCAGTGCTCAAGACAACACAAGTAATTCTAAGACTCTCGGATGTTAAAGGATCATTAATAAATAAGCAAATTGCCTAATTGGGCACTAATAAGCGACTACCCCCCCCCCCCGAGGTGCAAAAACTTGGTACTCAAATGAGCCACAGAGACGTTAGAAAGAATTTCATCAGTGTCAGAGTAGTTAACAAATGAAATGCACTAGGAAGTGATGTGGTGGAGGCTGACTCCATTTGAAACTGTGAATGGAGATATGATAGAGCCCAATATGCCCAGAAACCTGTACACTAGTTGATAGACAGTTGAGAGGCAGGACCAAAGAGCCTCACAAGCACAATGAGGCGAGTGCACACACACAGAGTAAAGGCTGAGCAACACAATATAAATAGCTCATCAAACTGTAATAATCAGCAAACACACGAAACACGCAAAAAAGCGAATTCAAGATAATAATTTTTTGCAAGATAATAGATAACATATTTAACCTACGTGAGTCCAGTTCTAGATACGCAGCGCTCATGCTGCGTGAAACAGATGAACTAACCAATTGGGGGTATTAACAGCTCAACCGCTTCAAAGCAAAGGAGCCACTTGAGAGGTAATACACCAGGTGGACTGAGAACTTCACCTCCCCCCCCCCCTCCTAATGAATGATTTACAGACCAAAGAGAGAATGGCGGAAGTTATGGGAGTGAGTCCAGCCAGCGTGGAAGGACTAGGGGAATACGGGCACCGAGTGAACTAGCGATTTCCAACCAGCTGGACCATCGGGGATCGAACGCCGACCTAAAAGGCCGCTGCCGTACTGTCCCATAATCAAGTAATATTTTGTTGGACAGGTGCTCGCGCGCGCGCGCTCTCACACACACACACACACACACACACACACACACACACACACACACACACACACACACACACACACACACACACACATCCTGTGTGTGTGGTGTGGGAAAAAAAAAAAAGTAGTTAGTAAACAGTTGATTGACAGTTGAGAGGCGGGCCGAAAGAGCAAAGCTCAACCCCCGTAAAAACACAACTAGTAAACACACACACACACACGTGTGTGTGTTTGTTTGACACAACTAGTAAACACACACGTGTGTGTGCGTGCGTGCGTTAGAGAGTAAGTGCGTGAATCGGCGTATATGTACACAAATTACAATTATTACTTAACCTATTATAGGTATAGGTTAAGTAATAATTGTAATTACGAAGCAATAAGATGCTTATCTTAACATACTAAGAAGGTTAGGTAAGGTTAGTGTTTTCTATGAAGCTTTTCAAGGTAAACAAGTATGTTTAGTATGTCTCACATGCACGTGTTTAATAAGTCAATATTGACTGTAAGAAAGTGCGAGAACGGGTTGGAAAATGTATCAGTAATGCCTAGTGTCCATTGTTCGTTTTATTATTACATTTAACCCCACGAAACCCCGAGCTGCGAGAAAGCGAGTGTCTCATTACCCATACATGTTTCAGTTGATGTTTGTGAATCATTATTATTATTCCTTTGCAGATGGCTGGCGGCGCGAGGCTTCGACCCCGGTACTGAACAGGTGAGTCTTTTATCATACCGCTTCCCTCACCCGTTGCCACCATAACAGGCTGTGAATTTTGAGGGGTTCAAACACTCGACGCATAGATTCGAACCCTCGTCCAGGCTCCTGTGGATCTGAATCATAACAGTTAGTCTGGCATTCAGTTACTTATCGTGGTACATGCCTGTTATTCCTTTTTTCTGTTGATAGCTTTGGTAGCCATCTAACAGTTGGGTGGTTCCGTTGGTACCGTTGTTCCGAACAACGCCACAATGGTGTTCGTGTTACAGGAGCCACGGACACATGCGCTAATGCACTTGTCTTTGAAAACATAGTTACCTTCAACGTAAAGTTGTATTGTAGCTCCTAGAGGGGAAAATGGTTGGGATTCGGATATTGTATGCGACGTTTAGTGTGATTCCGAAGACTGACGCGAGTTTGACAGCTTTGAAAACCTTTTAGGATTTTGCTATGAAGGTTCATGCCATAACCCACTTTTGTTCCTGCCTAACCTCTCTCTCACCCCATCATACCCCCCCCCCCCCTCTCTCCCACCTTCCTATTCACCCAGTCACTTTCTCTCCTATCTCGTTCAGGCAGTACCTCCTCTATGGGAGATCAAAGGTACTGTGAAACACCATATGCTGCGATAAGGGAACTCCACGTGTTGATAACCTTTTGTTTAGCCTCACTGTCTCCATACGACACTTCCTCATCACCTGCCGATCGTCAGTATGGCAGATACGACAACGTCAGTAAGACCCCCAGGGGTCAGATTCATGAAGCAGTTACGCAAGCGCTTATGAACCTGTACATCTTCTATCAATCTTTTGCAAATACATCTTCTGTACATCTTTTATCAATGATAAGGCAAATGATGCCAATTTCCACTCTCGGTAAATACCCTCCTCCATCCTCACTAAGATTAATCTAGCATATTATTTTCTACGTGATTAAATGTTTGTGTTATGGATGTACCAGTACTTATATTGCTATGACCACCACTAAGCCTTCGAGAAGAGTGACCTGCCATCTACAAGCTGGTGCCCCTAGTCACTACGTGCGAAGTGTACATAACACAACATTCACTATAGGAACGTACTAGTACAAATACAACAATCCTGATGTCCACCACTGACCAGAGAAGGCTGCAAATGCTGGAAGCTATACTCATAAAAGAAAAAAAGACTCGCCCTAAATATTCAGAGTAACGTCGACTTGGATTCCTTGCCTACGCTCAGACCCAGACCTCGCCACACAGCACCGGATAACGACATCTCTACGGACTTTCCCTTCCGCCCACCGCCTTACAAAGTGTTTGATGGCCACTCATCACCTGTTGTTGTTATAGATTTAGCTACTCGGAACAGGTTCTAAGTAGCACGGGCTATGGTGAGCCCGTAGTGGACTTACCTGACACAGGAGCGGTGCCGTCTGTGACTCATCACCATTATATCCCCTATTTATTCACTTGTGTGTGATTACTTCACCTTACTTCCCCACACAACTTGACCTCTTTCACGTGTGTATCTGAGATCAATTTGCACCTTGTAAAATCATTCTTTATCTGAAGGTGTTCCAGAGTGGAGCGAAACGTTGTAGAATATATACCTTTCAATAATAGAGTTGGAATGAATTTCGGTAACTTGATTGTTGTTCTTAATCCCGAGATTATGAAAATAGAAGCATAGAAAGATGAAAATAGAAGCATAGAAAGATGAAAATAGAAGCATAGAAAGCATGGAACCCCTCGCCACGTCCCTTGTGGATTTGTTCAAGGATAGAAAGCTTATACTATAAGAGCAACAACGCCAGCAATGTGGGCATATATAATATATAGTGTCGTACCTAATATCCGCAACATACTACTCGGTCTAGTATGCAAGGTCCGAATTGCCTAGTAGGCAGTGATTTACAAATAAAAATCCAATTGATTTGAATTAAAATTATTAAGACCATGAGTTAATGACTTAGTTATGTTAGTTTAGGTTAGGGTAGGTTAGGTTTGGTCATATGTCTACGTTACTTTTAACTCAAATGAAAAAAAAAATGAAATAATTTATAATTTAAAATGTCATCATTTCATAAGTTTTTAGAAAAATATGACATCAGGAGAATTCGGCTTATTACGCAAATCGGCCCTTGCATAGTGTGTAAATAATGAAAATTTATTAAACGAAATGTGATATTTAAGTGCTGTCTGTCTGCTTGGATGGAAGTAATTACAAAATACCTTTATCTTGATTCCGTGTATAAGGTTGACAGGTGAATTGACAGAACATATAAAGCAAAACCGGTTTAGAAGCTAGGTTCTAGATCTAAGACCTTTTGCTCGACATGGACCCAAGAGCCCCGTTCGAGTCCCACAAGCACCAGCTACGGAGGTAGAGACAGAGGAGTGAGTACCCGGTAATCTGTATAAGTGCAGGGGGAATGGCCAAGCTGTACCCCAATGTACCCAGGGGCGTTATCGTTCCCTCCCCCGTGTTTTTGAGAGGCCTCTTGTTAGGGATGGCCAGGAGTTGATTTAGGCCTACAGCGGCAAGGTACATGATATAAGCACTTGTGTGGAGGGTGTGTGTGAGAGGGGGGCACGAGGCCTAGCCTATCACGGTGTACCCAGAGTGGCATGACTTCCCAAGGGGAGGGGGTGATGCCCCCCAGCAACACATGACTGTGTGCTACACTTGCCCTGATGGCCCTCAAGTCTCATTATAAAAAAATAATATAATGAAGGTGAAGGAAATGATGATAGGGCATTGTGAAGTAAGAAATAGTGAAGGGCATTGTAGTACTAATAATGATGCAGAATCATCAGGTCATCCTCATAAAATAAGAGTAATTATAATAAGCATCAAATATCATAGATACTTGATTCTGCAACTGACAGCAGGAGATTACAATTTTAAAGGCAATCCTCATCAAAGAAAACAAAGACCTATTATAAACTTACAAAACAGCTTTTTGCATCCTTAGCAACACTGAGGCCTAGACCCTCCCAGTGGACGACGACGCCATTCTCTAGCACCAGAGCTCCGTGGCTCGACTCTGGCAACCTGTACCTCACCTCACTAAGTATACATCCCCCTTGCCATACGTGCAATAGTGTAAACCTCTAGGAAAACCTCGAGGTCTACACTAACCCCACCAGCTCCTTGGGGTTTGGAGCCGGTGGGGTTAGTGTATGGAGCTTCGGGATTGAAATCTACCATGAAGACCCCCATCCATCCCCCAGATCTCTAGTATCAGCTATTGTTACAGATAATGGCTCCAAAAGAGCCTCCACCTACGGGCTCACTATAGCTCGTGCTAATTGGATCTTTTCGTTCTAGGTAGCTGAATCATAAACAACAACAACAACAACATGCAATTAGCCAGTTACGGTCCCGCTCCTGTGCTGATGTAAAGATAGCACTATATACATTACTACTCTGGTTTACCAAACCACGCACTAGAAAGTGAAGGGACGACGACGTTTCGGTCCGTCCTGGACCATTCTCAAGTCGACAATCGACGTGAGAATGGTCCAGGACGGACCGACACGTTGTCGATCGTCCCTTCACTTTCTAGTGTATGGTTTGATTAACATATTTCAGCCATGTTATTGTGACAGCTCGTCTGCTTTACTACCCTGGCCTTGAGCCTCCAGTAGGCCGCTCTCGGCTGAGTATTACTTGGGCAGTGGTTGAGTATTTGTGACTTGTATGGTGGTATTAGTGACGAATCCAATGTGTTTTACATCTGCGAATAGTCTTTCTTATTTTTCTGGAGCCTCTTAAGATAACTTCCCATGTTCAAGGATATCCAAGCCTGATGCGGTGACTGGGTCTAGTTCTATAATGGTGACGCCATTATAGTACTGTTGTGAGCTTGCAACAGGGCAAGGGCCTTCACAACTGATCTCAACGTTGCAACTGCTGTATTATGGTATGTTTACATATGTATTGTTTCTCTCCTAGAAACTACATTTCCGTAGTGATGGGACTGTGTGTTCCTGACGGCCTCAGAGGATAAACTCAGGACTCTGGTTGGATCCTGTTCCAAAGATTTTCTTGTGGATATATGACGTTATTACGAGTCATAAATACTCATACACCGCCTAAGTAAGACGGAAACGAGAAACAAAGAAGATTGTGGGGAAGCCAGAGGCTTTGGGTCCCCTCAGGCATATCCATGCCAAAAAAAAAATAGGCCTTCTGCCGTTATCTTTATTAAAAATTTGTATAAGTCGTCACCACTTAATCTCCATTCTCTTGGTGCTATATATCCTGGACCTCTTGGCAGTTGTGGTCATTAACAAACGACTTATTATCTTAAGATGTCGATTTAGATTTAAGCAAATAAAAAGCCGACTATTACTGGATTAGTCGAGTCGAGACAAAAAAAAACTGTGTACCCAGGTTCGACTAACGTATGTTGTAATGGCTGCTACTGGGTTCAACGTGTCCTATCTGAGGTACTGTGTAGGGCGGCCATCACTCGGACCCAGTACATCACTCGGACCCAGTACATCACTCGGACCCAGTACATCACTCGGACCCAGTACATCACTCGGACCCAGTACATCACTCGGACCCAGTACATCACTCGGACCCAGTACATCACTCGGACCCAGTACATCACTCGGACCCAGTACATCACTCGGACCCCGTACATCACCCGGACCCCAGTACATCACTCGGACCCAGTACATCACTCGGACCCAGTACATCACTCGGACCCAGTACATCACTCGGACCCAGTACATCACTCGGACCCAGTACATCACTCGGACCCAGTACATCACTCGGACCCAGTACATCACTCGGACCCAGTACATCACTCGGACCCAGTACATCACTCGGACCCAGTACATCACTCGGACCCAGTACATCACCCGGACCCCAGTACATCACTCGGACCCAGTACATCACTCGGACCCAGTACATCACTCGGACCCAGTACATCACTCGGACCCAGTACATCACTCGGACCCAGTACATCACCCGGACCCAGTACATCACTTGGACCCAGTACATCACCCGGACTCTTTAACACACATGCGGGGCCCAGTTACCAGGATATATAAAGTTGTACTGATTTTCTGGCCTATTTTTCGTTATTTGCGTTGGACCAGGATAATCCTGAAAGAGATGCGTCAGGGGTAAAATGAAATGTTCTTAAGGCAAGGGTTAAGTTCGCTTCTGCCCTGAGTGGTGACGTTAAACCACGAAACGTTTTGTGTGTGTGTGTGTGTGTGTATATATATATATGTGTGTGTGCATATATATATATATATATATATATATATATATATATATATATATATATATATATATATATATATATATATAGTGTGTGTGTGCATATATATATATATATATATATATATATATGTGTGTGTGTGTGCATATATATATATATATATATATATATATATATATATATATATATATATATATATATATATATATATATATATATATATATATATATATATACCTACCTTTATACAGAGTTGAGAATGTCCGGAGTTAAAGGAACCTTCACTCCAGACAGTAAATCTGCTTCAAGGTTACTTCACTCACTGCTTATTCGTCTCGCCGATTCTTCCTTGTTCCTTCTCTTTGTATTTACATTATATACCCCCCTTTTTATCACTTATTTTACTTGGCCGCTGATGCAGCATTACCGTGATTTGTATAAAAAAAATATATTAGGCTACGAGAAAAATTATTCACATTTGGAGGGATTTTATGGGAATAGGTTGCATGAATGTATCGTTCAGAAATGGTAGTACCAACATGTGCATAATACTGCTACACACACACACACACACACACACACACACACACACACACACACACACACACACACACACACACACGTACAGGGGCCTCGTAGCCTGGTGGATAGCGCGCAGGATTCGTAATTCTGTGGCGCGGGTTCGATTCCCGCACGAGGCAGAAACAAATGGGCAAAGTTTCTTTCACCCTGAATGCCCCTGCTACCTAGCAGTAAATAGGTACCTGGGAGTTAGTCAGCTGTCATGGGCTGCTTCCTGGTGTGTGTGTGTGTGGTGTGGGGAAAAAAAAAAAAAAAAAGTAGTTACTAAACAGTTGATTGACAGTTGAGAGGCGGGCCGAAAGAGCAAAGCTCAACCCCCGTAAAAACACAACTAGTAAACACACACACACATACATACATACATATATATATATATATATATATATATATATATATATATATATATATATATATATATATATATATATATATATATATATATAATGTCGTACCTAGTAGCCAGAACGCACTTCTCAGCCTACTATGCAAGGCCCGATTTGCCTAATAAGCCAAGTTTTCCTGAATTAATATATTTTCTCAAATTTTTTTCTTATGTAATGATAAAGCTACTCATTTCATTATGTATGAGGTCAATTCTTTTTTATTGGAGTTAAAATTAACGTAGATATATGACCGAACCTAACCAACCCTACCTAACCTAACCTAACCTATCTTTATAAGTTAGGTTAGGTAGCCGAAAAAGTTAGGTTAGGTTAGGTAGTCGAAAAAGAATTAATTCATGAAAACTTGGCTTATTAGGCAAATCGGGCCTTGCATAGTAGGCTAAGAAGTGCGTTCTGGCTACTAGCTACGACATATATATATATATATATATATATATATATATATATATATATATATATATATATATATATATATATATATATAGTCCACGTTTTGTGCTGCTTGTATACCGCAGGTCACAACAAAAGTAAAAGTGGTGCCGGCAACTTGTCCTCCGCACCTTCCCTAGGTCTAATATAACCAACCGTAGGTCTAATGTATATATGTAATTTTAGAGCAAATGGAGTACACACACATGTGCTATATTAGGGCTAGGAAACGTTAGGATGTTGCCTCCTTTTTCAACTTCCCTCTACAGAATCAGTAGTACAAAGAGTGTATTTTGTTTAGGTGCAACAATTTTGTGTATATGCGGTTTGGTATATATATTCTACAGTCGCTATACACCACTTTTTGGAGGCTACGTCGTATTGCACAATCAAGTTAACCACTTAGAAGTGCTGTAATAGTGAGGTACGTGAGAATGACGATATAGCCATCAAGTTGTATCTTATCGTGAGACTGAATATGGGTTGGGGGAGGGTAAGGATGATTAAGGGGGGTGGGGGGATGGGATCAAGCCGATGTTTGTCATAGAGTACAATGATAGTAGTGATGGGTGACAAGTTACTGGTTGACAACAGAGGAGGCTAAACCACCAAAGACATGTGGGAGAGTGTGGTTGATGATGACTAGTATCAGGGAAGGTGGTGGGTGTTGCTGCGGCTCGTCACAGTGCGGGTTTTTTTATATATATAAAACACGTTACCATTATGTTGGAAAAAGTTGAAAAACAAAAGTTGTAAGCTGGCGGTTATTGAGTTTGATACTAGGATAGAGGTCATGGTAGCGGAGCTGGTGTTAGGATAAGATGGTGGTAATGATTATTATTATTATTATCTTTATTGACAAAATTTTATTAGTAAGGCTAGAGCCGAGGTGTGTGTGTGTGTGTGGGGCTACGTCACAGACAAGATAGATCAAGCAGGTGAGTGTGGTGATAATGGCATGAAGGCGATGACCCCACCAACACAGGCGCCGTATCATCACACAACTACGAACCATAAAATAAACCCACAAGAATATCATAGCCGTCGATTCTCGTAGTGGGAGCCGCACCTGAAATGTGTGTGTGCGTTTTTATCATTTCTTCATTGATGTAAGAGTAGCTCTTGTGAGGTGTGGTAAGACCTCGTAGATAAGGCCAGGTGGGAGTGTGGGTCAGCCCGAGCACCGAGCTCTTTCACACCTGACCAACAGCACGTCAACACGAACGTGCATTATCTCTTAAGATCCTGGTGGTTACGACAGACCCTTGAGAGAGAGACCCTCCCCTTAGAGACAGAGAGAGACCCCCTTAGAGAGAGAGAGAGAGACCGAGAACCTCCCCTTGAGAGAGACCCTCCCCTTGAGAGAGAGACCTTCCTTGAGAGAGTGAGAGACTTACGTTATCGCCCGCCTGTCTTATTACTCTCCTTCGCAGTGCTTTAAATTCCTCAAAACTCTTGCCTTACACGAAAATCTGAGGCAACTCGAGGTAAACCGTCTTCTGTAAGTCCATATCCATGACCTGACGGCACCAGGGGGTTGCTCACCAACTTGTAAACACAGCAGAATAGTGGCAACATATTCCAAGATATGAGACCTGTCGCTCAGACCACACAACCAAATCTACACACGTACTACACAGAAACATATCACAGCATTCAATAGCACTTTCTTGGAATACGGGCACAGAGGCTTGGAGAAAAATATTTAATGCATTCGAGAGAATTCTGTATATCCACACCAATACAGGTTTGTTATTTTCTCCCGCAACTTCTTTATGTATTTAATTTTCTATTTATGAGTCTTGATGGTATTTTTATTTTCTTATATTTCCAGAAAGCAGATGGAGAACTAGACGAGGCAAGGAAGGGCGGAGACGTCACGGATTAGATCTCAGACAGGAAGATACTTCCCTCCTTCTCTCCTCCTTACGCACGGGAGGGTAGTGATGGAGTCGAACGCGGGTGTGGACATGGAGGACTACTGGAACGAAGTCCGTACCTACCGGAGCACCTCCACCTCCCACTCTGAGGAGGAATCCAGGAGTCATGAAGGTGGGTCATCCCCCCCCCCCTTCCCGGCCATCTCTTGTGATGTCATCACGCAGTCACATGTTTTTTGTTGACCTGCAGGTGTGTAGCAGTCAGCGGATTATGTCTGGATTTCCGCGAACGGTGCGCGTCAGATGTGATTGATGACTTGCAGCGGGGCTTTCTACAACCTGTCCTCGATTCAAGTCCATTACATCCAGCGGTCGACCCCACAGACGCTTTCATAAATTTTTACATAGTGTTCATTCGAAACGGGAATTTTCTCAAATATAAATTATTATAATAGCATATTGTGCACATATAGGCGTAGATTAGGTTAGGTGTTTAGGTTCTGTTGGCGATTATTTGTATTTGTAGTACGTGAAGCATTAACAGCGTTGTGGTTCGAACAAAAGTCGTCAGCCAAGTACTTGTTCCGGAAGTGTTCGAATGTCATCAGTTGTGAGTCGTGTGTAAACCGTTTTTCATTCATAAACAGGGGAGTTGGCGGGTGGATAGAATAGACTTTGGGTCTTTGTTTGGAAGACGGGCTGAGAATGACCTTTGTGTCTTGACACAACAATGTTCGATTCCTGTACTGCTGGGGCCACCCCCCCCCCCCGTGGTTGCACCCCCCCCCCCTTTCCCTCAGGGTTGCGTTCCCCCCGGGGCTTCCTACCCCCACCACTGAGGCCTCCATCACACTTACTCCCCACGGGGGCTTGGGAGTAGAACAACTCCCAGAACTCCATCAATCAGGTATCAAGCAGGTGTCCCCCCCAGGGTCTTCTCCCCATTCCCCTAGCTTACCCCCTCCCACGGGCTAACCTCATCGCCCCCCGGGGCTGCTCCACTAGGGGGGATACGTCCCCCTCCCCACCCCCGGGGGCTGCGACAGCGTCCTCTGCATGTGGTTTAGTGTTGATCGTCGCGGGTCACGTTTTATTGAGATACTGAGAGTCAGTTTTGCCACTATTTGACGTCTTCAGAATCTGAAGTCTTTTCTCCAGATGGTCTACTAGCCTCTTTATTATGACACTTTAAACAGCATCCCTTACTTGCATGATAGGCAAGTAAGGGACGCTGTTCACCGCTTGTATAATGTCACTGCATTGGCTATCTTCCCACTTTGTGGCAGTTCCCCGTCATTGTGTGTTGTATAGCATGGTGTGTAGGTACAAGGCTGCACCTACCTCTGTTTTAGTGCCCGCGGTGGGAGCCTGTCTCTCCTTACAGTGTCCAGCACTAGCAGGTGCGTCCTTGCTTCAGCTCTGTTAATCTCTGTTCTCCGGGGTAGGTGGGTGGTGTATATGGGTACATACCCATATGTAATGGTATGTAGAATCCCTTTTATGTACCGATGTTTGGAGTCAACACTCCATCACACTAATCAATCTAACCCTCCCACTGTCCACAGACGAGGGGGAGTCGGATGAGCACTTCCTGGAGGAGCTGGGCATCCCTCTCAAGCCGGACTCCGAACTCTCCGAGGACAACATCACCCTCGAATTCATGGGCACCCTCAATCCACGGCAGGTAAGTCTCAAGTTCTGGCAAGGCGAGTCTGAAACTACATGACAAATGACCTTGGGTGTCTGGGGAGACCAGTAAAGTAGCGCAGGAGTCTGGAACTCCCAGTTACAGGCAGGTAAAACTGGAGCGTGTCCAGGTGTGCCCCGTATGGGCGCAGGTAAGCCAAAAGCACACCTTAAGCAAATTGGCTTAAGCACGCCCTTCCACCCTCCCGTTTCCCAGGCACGCCCTCCCCAGCCTTCCAGGCACGCCCTCCCAGCCTTCCAGGCACGCCCTCCCAGCCTTCCAGGCACGCCCTCCCAGCCTTCCAGGCACGCCCTCCCCAGCCTTCCAGGCACGCCCTCCCAGCCTTCCAGGCACGCCCTCCCCAGCCTTCCAGGCACGCCCTCCCCAGCCTTCCAGGCACGCCCTCCCAGCCTTCCAGGCACGCCCTCCCAGCCTTCCAGGCACGCCCTCCCCAGCCTTCCAGGCACGCCCTCCCAGCCTTCCAGGCACGCCCTCCCCAGCCTTCCAGGCACGCCCTCCCCAGCCTCTCGTCTCCAAGGCACGCCCTCAGTAGCCGCATAATACCCCAAGGTTAACTGTATAACCACTATAACCGTAGTAGTTAGTAAGCACCAGTGAATAGTGCCAGCCATCTTGATGTCAACATTGAGGCGTGCTGGGGGGGGGGAGAGCTGCCTAGTTAAGGCTCGTGACCTCCTGATACTTTTGGTGACCTGATCTTTGGTGTCCTAAACAATTGAGGTCAAGTCAAGTTCAATAAAAAAAAAATCAACTACCATTAACTTAATTACGTGTTGAGAATAGTTAAAACAGCTTTCAAGTTTCAAAACATCGAATACTTGTTCTTCTCTGAATCATTCCATCTTGTGTATGAATTGTTAGTTGTTGTAATACTGACGTAAATAATTATCGAAAGACGACGACTAGACATGTCATGCAAATTTGGGTTTGTTCTCGGGCAGGAGGAGGCACTGAAGCGCCGAGTGCGGACCCTGAACGCCACTATACGCCGGAAGAAACAACGCCAGAAGCCAGACATACGCAACTTCTTCGCCAACACGGACGTGAGTATTACCAACGCGAGCCTGTTTGTGACCAGAGACGGCGCCGCGCTCCTCCTCTATACCTGCTGGTGTCTGGGGCCACCATCCGTGTATCTGGCCTCCCAGCTGCTGACTCGTGTGTTGGGGCACCTCTCTTGCAGCTTGTGTGTGTTGGGGCACCTCTCTTGTAGCTTGTGTGTGTGTTGGGGCACCTCTCTTGGGTGCACCTCTCTTGTGGCTTGTGTGTGTTGGGGCACCTCTCTTGTAGCTTGTGTGTGTGTTGGGGCACCTCTCTTGTAGCTTGTGTGTGTGTTGGGGCACCTCTCCTGTAGCTTGTGTGTGTTGGGGCACCTCTCTTGTAGCTTGTGTGTGTTGGGGCACCTCTCCTCCTGCCCATATTTCCTTAAACCACGGTAACTATTGTTGTACTTCAGACCTTGACCCTCAAGTGTTGCAAACATCGCTGTTGCTCCTGAGAGGCTTGTCACAGCCGCTATTTAATACAGTGTTGTAATGAAGGTCTGTTAAGAAATATTTAAAATATATTTATCTCTGACACGTGTATATCCCTAAATAATGTTTCTTTTACAATATCGGAGCTCTCTTCAATATCGTTTCGCCCAACCACTTGGGCTGGACGGTAGAGCGACGGTCTTCATGAAGTCTTTGGCTTCATGCAGGTCGGCGTTCAGTCCCCGACCGTCCACAAGTGGTTGGACACCATTCCTTTCCCCTCGTCCCATCCCCAAATTCCTAACCTGACCCCTTCCCAGTGCTATATAGTCGTGGTGGCTTGGCGCTTTCCCCAGATAATTCCCTCTCCAATATCTTATGGACTAATTGTTACATAGAATATGTTAATAACCTTTTGTTGTTTCTCAAGAGCCTTGTGTAACCTGTCCCCTCGCCGGTAGAACTCGAGCACTGGCACCAGGAGCCGGAGTGCCACCCCGGACTCTCTGGACTCCGTGTCACCGCCGCGGACCCCACCTGACCCCCACCCCAAGTCGTGGGTGGACCCCTACCTAAGTCGCTCCCGGGGCTCGCTGGACTCCGGGAACCACTCGCTGGTGACGTCTCCGTCCGTCACGGCGCCCTCCACCCCCTTCACCTCCATCAGCGACCAGACTGACCTCCACAACACCAGGAGCCAGGTGGGGGGCCGGAGACACACGCCCCCCACCGATGTCCCCTCCAGGTACGTCCCCTCACCTTCCCTCAGCCCTGTCCCCCCCCCCCCCTCACCATCCTCAGCCTCGCCCCTCCCCACCTCCCTCCCCTCCTCCCTTCACCTTCCCTCATCCCTTCACCTCCCCTCATCCTCGTCACTAATTATTACCAGTTCGTATAGAGTGCATAATTTTACAGCTCTGCCAATTCCTAAAAACAAATTAAATTGAACTATTGTTGTTGGCATGATTCAAGTTATTTTTTTATCATACTTTCATGAGACATTTCTTGTATAATATGTGCATAGTAATGATGGAAAATTGTCTTGCATGAACATGGGTTATGAATATCATGCATGTTGACGGGATGCTATGATTACCTTGCCTGTTCCTGATGGAAACTCCTGTTCCATATGCATGTGGTCTGGGTGCTGAAGAGTCTTGCTCTACACACTGCAGGGCATGTCATCTGACTTCCATTATTGATCCACTTGTTATTCATATTTCGAAACCCCCTATGAGCACCCAACACTATAATTACAGTAATTATAGCCTTCACAAAAGGGGCGTCATGTTATATGTGGACGTGGAAACCAGTGCCATGGTGGTGGTGGTAGTTGTGGTGGTGTTGTTGTTGTTAAAGATTCGCTACCTGGAACAAAAAGTTCCAAGTAGCACGGGCTATGGTGAGCCCGTAAGGTTGTGGTGGCTGCGGCACACTCCTAACCTAATGTTTGTGTGGTTGCAGGCACCAGTGGCTGGATGGCCAGGCAGCCCACCTGTACCGGGCCCCCTCCCTCGACACCCTCCCCAAGGTCGTGTCGGGACCCAACAAGGGCAAGGAACTCCGGCGTCAAAGGTCCTACGCGCGGGATATAGCCAGGGACGTCAAAAGCTTCCACTCCTCCAAGCAGGGACTCTACGAGTTTTACCCCAAGACCCCACAAGACGACCACGGTGAGTGTTAAGACGGCTCTGGTTATGCTTTTGCTCCCTGTGTTTCTAAATCAAATTTGCAGGTTTATTTGACCACCACTGTGCCTACGTGCCAGGAGTCCAGCGTTTGTTTTGCTAGTACCGATAATGAACAGTGGAAGTGATGATAAAGGACCGCTCTGGGCAAAGGTTGTGAACGCTGAACAAGTCGGACTGGTCCGCGCGCTGTCCTAACCGCAGTACCAGTAGGGGCAGTTTGGGTTCATTAATTCTTTACACACGCCAGAGGCCTCGAAGCCACGGGTAGTTCCGCCAGGGTACGAACCTCGTGGTGAATATCACTCTCGTGATATTCATTATCATTGCCAACTCTGTGAATTGTTTTTCCCATTATTGATTTTGGTATATAATTAAGGGTGTAATAACTTTTCTCGCGGGGATATATAAAACACACACACACACACACACACACACACACACACACACACACACACACACACACACACACACACACACACACACACACACACACACACACACACACACACACACAGTTGAGAGCCGGCAGGCCGAGCGGACAGCACGCTGCATACGTGATCCTGTGGTCCCGGGTTCGATCCCGGGCGCCGGCGAGAAACGATGGACAGTTTCTCTTTCACCCTATGCCCCTGTTACCTAGCAGTAAATAGGTACCTGGGAGTTAGTCAGCTGTCACGGGCTGGTGTGTGCACACACACCCCAGCTTCCTGGTGTGTGTGTGTGGGGTGTGGGGGAAAAAAATAGTAGTAGAAACAGTTGATTGACGGTTGAGAGGCGGGCCGAAAGAGCAGAGCTCGACCCCCGCAAGCACAACTAGGTGAATACAGAGGGGGGACCCTTCCTCAGGAGAATTGACAGGGTAGATAAGGGCGGATTATTCAACACTGGTGGTACTCACACAAGGGGACACAGATGAAAACCGAATACCCAAATGAGCCACAGGAACGTGAAAAAGAACTTTTCCAGCGTCAGAGTAGTTAACAGGTAGAATGCATTAGGCAGTGATGTGGTGGAGGCTGACTCCATACAGTTTCAAATGTAGATATGATAAGAGCCCAGTAGGCTCAGCAACCTGTACAACAGTATGTTGACAGTTGAGAGGCGGGACTAAAGATGCGAAGCTCATTCCCCGCAAGCACATCTACGTAAGTACATACATGTAGCTTTGCTAAGATTACTCGATGCTTTCAGATGTATCAGCCATAAAATATTATTACTTTGTTTTTTAGATCAGTGAATGGACCCAATACACAATGTGAGGATGGGCCTGGTGACAGGTTACAGTCATGTAATGTGATGACAACCTCACCCCGATGATCTTGACCCCTAAACCCATTACATTTCTGGTCAACAATTTGACGCAACCAAAAATAATTCCTATTATTTATGTATAAAAACACTTGTCGTCGTCGTCGTCTAATACAAAACACACATTTGCCTTGTTACAGACGTCCAGGTGCTGAACTACCGGTACATAGGCTCGGTACACATCCCCCACGCCCGCTACAAGGACAAGAGACCGTCCCTGGACTCCAACGCCTCTCACTCCGCCCACGACATCGACTCCGTCACGGTACGAATATCTCCACTCTAATTTTATCATAGGGTGATATAAGGTGATCTCGAGGCGCTGGAAACTTGGTCCGTTTTTTAGATCAATACAGGTTTGCAAGTCCTGGTAATGTATGTGCTTTCCTGCGTGTGTGTTCATGGTTTATGAGTAATTATACACCACGCAAGGTAACGGTAATGACCTTGACAGAAACAATGGGGGGGAGTGTAGGTGGTGGTTGGGTAATCAGTGGCGCGGTTCACAGTGGTCTTGGGTTTAGTTTACGGGAGCTTTTAAGACTATAACTGTTCCACACTTGATTATTATATAATCTAGACTGGAACTGGCTTATTATATAATCTAGATTGGATATACTTATTATATAATCTAGACTGGAACTGGCTTATTATATGAACCGCACTGCCACTGGTTTATTATATATATAAATACTAGCACTGATTTATTATATAAATAATACTGGCACTTATTTATTATATAAACAACGCTGTGACATGTCTCTTTAACTCGTATATTATAGTGTAGTGTTTGTGTTTGTTTTACCTCTTCACAAACAGGTGGTTGTGAACTGGTAGCTTTCATACAATGTTCATCCTGGCCGTTGCAATGTGAACTGTTGACGCCGTGTTCATAAAATGTTATCTAGTAAACCGTTCATGTTAAGGGTAGGTTTGTGTACAGTTCATTTAGTATTCTCCTTAAGTTCGTACCCCTTTTTATGCACCTTTATTATCTTCAACCTGTTCTCGAGGAGGAAAGCCTCTCGTGATAATAGATTCAGAACGACTACATAATTAGTGCCAATTATCTGCTCTATCCATGATTAGGTTAGGCTTCATTACGTTTGGTTACGTTTATAAAGTTTAAACTTGTCCAAAATGTGAAATATGGAATTCGAAAACTATTGTGTACCCTTGAATTTCGGTTACAGAAAACCAAATTCTGTAGACCGTTTCAAAGAAAACGCTCCCAGCATACACTTTTTATATTTTAAACCAACGCTTTATCATACATTAAACTTATAACTTGAGAATAATCTCTGTTTAGGATTATGGTTCACTTGCCAGTTTACAAGTGGAGTATTACTGGAACCGTAATATGCTTTCAGACCATCACAAATATCTAGATAACTATCCAGGTGGTTTGGCTCGTGGTAATGGATTTGCTCTGAACTCGGGCTCATTAATTTAGTTACATATTATTTGTAAATACTGTAAATTTGTGAAATGGGAGACAAAGTAAACAACCATAGAACATGCAAGTTAACTGATCTTTGGCATCAGGACTCGCGGCGTTCGTCAGCGGAGCTCCGGAAGACCTACTCGATCAGCCACCCCAGAGATGCCCGGGATTACCACAGGCAGAGTCGTGAAAGTCGAGAAAACAGGGAGAACAGACCTCGCTCCGGCTCCGCCACCGACCTGGGCTTCAAAGTCAGATACCAGAAGGCTGACGATGAGTTCCCAGTAAGTGATGGCGAACTCTAAGCAAAAAAAACCTGTTCTTGTTTACATATAATGTCTCCTCCGTGTGCTCCCGACATCGCCCACAACCTGTTTCTTTACTAGTCTGCTATACACGCACTTTAAGTGTGTCACCAGACATGCATGTGAATTAAATACAACTGTTCCTTTAGTGTTAATATAGAAGTAACATCAGTACATAATAAGGGAATTGCAGAAGGCCCATTGATCCATACGAGGCAGCTCCTATTATTGATATACATTTCTATATATAATTAAATGAAGCATTATACTAATGTACAAGTCACTTTCTTATTAATAATTTTTGTCATACAAGAAGATGCAGTTAGACATGCAGTTGTAAGCACAAACAAAAAAGTTGAAAGAATTCGAGTAGTGAGGTGGTGAGGAGAGCCTGCCAGTGGGTCAGCTACAAATCATATTACTGATCAATTATCACGTCTTGCCACATGTTGGAAGAGTTATGACCCCTGAGAACATAGTCCCTACATGGAAGGGAGCGCGCCAGGTTAGAGGATGTAGCTTATGACTAGATAATTAAAGGGGGTAAAGTTGAGGAATGTTATTGTGTTGTCAGGAGCTGGTGCTGGAGACGAGCCGGTGTGGCCAGACCCGCATGGACTGGCTGGACGAGGCCGACCTCCACAAGCTCACCTCCCTGGCCCTGCTCGAGCTCGACATCCTCTTCACCGAACACAATATTCATCACCGATGGAGAAAACTTAAAAAGCGGAAGCAAAGTAAAGAAGGTTAGTGATAAACAGTTTTGATTCAACACCAGAGCTATTTTTTTTAGTCTTTCATGTTAGACGTCATGATGAAGATATTCCTTTGTAAAGGTCCCATATAATGCCGAATAACACGTCGTTATTGTTAATGTTTGTTATTTGTATGCTCTTGAGCATTACCAATTACTCGAGCTATTGTTGTGCATAGAAAGTAGATAGATGGTAAACAGGTGAGAGAGGCAAAATAAGCGGAGGTAAAGTGAGTGAGTGTGTGTTGGTAGAGAGCGGCGTGTTTGGCGTGCCGCTGGACAACCTTCTGGAGAGAGACGCCAACTTACTACCAGAGTCACCGCTGGAGACCAATGTCCCGCTCGTTTTCTATAAGGTGAGTGATGTTGGGGGGAAAGATTGTGTCCCTGTCATCATCCTCCTTCCTATCTCACTCTAAATTCTTATCCTTCTGATCCGATCTTCTTCCTCCTGCCACCTTTCATGAGGGGGACGGAATAAAGTCTGAGGAATATAGTGAGAAAAACAAATTACGTTTGTTTACATGATTCACACTATAAAACAGTGAACCAGCATCATCACTCCTGCAGTCATCCACAGCACTAACCACCGCTTTATAAGCTGATCAGAATTACATTTCACCTTTGTAAATGCACATTAATGACACTATGTAAAAGACACATCGAACACTTTGTGGGGCATACCACATAATATTAATCTGTGTATCTATGTATTTACGTATGTAGCTTAGCCTAGCATTGTTAAAAGCACTACAATCACCTTCTGTGATTGATTGTTCAATAAATCCCTGAACTATATGTTTAACAAATCTCTAACTCTGTCCATGGAGGACAGAAGAAAATGTATATATGCTAGTTAGCATTGTTAATGTGTGGCCACGTCTGTGGTAGAAAAAAAAAGCTTTATAAGACCAGGTGTAGAGAGTTGCTCGCCATCCCCATGTACCGTACATTCACCCTCTATAACCCGCCTCTACCCCCTTCCATAAACCCCCCTTCACTCCTTTTTCCCCCTAATAAACCGGTTCTACCACAGCCGTGTGTGTGTCCGTTACCATACTCCTTGTGTTGTTGACACCACGCTCAGTCCATCTTCTTCCCCACCTTGCTCTCTCCCTCCCGCCTTGCTCTCTCCCTCCCACCTTGCTCTCCCTCCCGCCTTGCTCTCTCCCTCCCACCTTGCTCTCTCCCTCCCACCTTGCTCTCTCCCTCCCACCTTGCTCTCTCCCTCCCACCTTGCTCTCTCTCCCTCCCACCTTGCTCTCTCCCTCCCACCTTGCTCTCTCCCTCCCACCTTGCTCTCTCCCTCCCACCTTGCTCTCTCCCTCCCGCCTTGCTCTCTCCCTCCCGCCTTGCTCTCTCCCTCCCACCTTGCTCTCTCCCTCCCACCTTGCTCTCTCCCTCCCACCTTGCTCTCTCCCTCCCGCCTTGCTCTCTCCCTCCCGCCTTGCTCTCTCCCTCCCGCCTTGCTCTCTCCCTCCCACCTTGCTCTCTCCCTCCCGCCTTGCTCTCTCCCTCCCACCTTGCTCTCTCCCTCCCACCTTGCTCTCTCCCTCCCACCTTGCTCTCTCCCTCCCACCTTGCTCTCTCCCTCCCACCTTGCTCTCTCCCTCCCACCTTGCTCTCTCCCTCGCCCCTCCTTGCTCTCTCCCTCGCCCCTCCTTGCTCTCTCCCTCCCCCTCCTTGCTCTCTCCCTCCCCCCTCCTTGCTCTCTCCCTCCCCCCCTCCTTGCACTCTCCCTCCCGCCTGCGTGCTCTCTCCCTCCCTCCTTGCTCTCTCCCTCCCACCTTGCTCTCTCCCTCCCACCTTGCTCTCTCCCTCCCACCTTGCTCTCTCCCTCCCACCTTGCTCTCTCCCTCCCGCCTTGCTCTCTCCCTCCCGCCTTGCTCTCTCCCTCCCGCCTTGCTCTCTCCCTCCCACCTTGCTCTCTCCCTCCCACCTTGCTCTCTCCCTCCCGCCTTGCTCTCTCCCTCCCACCTTGCTCTCTCCCCCCCACCTCCCCATGTGCCGTAGTGTGTTGGGCCAACATGTACACAATGGAGATGTTTTTCACTCACACAATTGCCTCAGTGTGAGCTCCTCAGTTGTCTGGTGTAGCCACTAAGTTATGAACACACACAAGTTTATCCACTCCATGATATTTGTCCTCTTATTCTTCTTCTCTTAACAAGACGCGCGTCATTTAATAATCCATTTCCACTGCGCCGATTCATGATGTTGCACTTTCAATAATTTACGAAATATATTGTAAATTTAAGTAAATTTAATGTGTTGTGCTTTACGTTAAGAATATTCATGGTATTCTCGCATGTGCTGCCAGATATATCTGCCAGGGGGGCTGTGGATGGCTGTCAAAAACAGATATACTTCAGTTGAGAGGTCACTGCAAAATGAATGTTTTATTGCGTAACTTCTTGCAATGATACACGCATTTCGTTTTGGTGCTTTATATAGACCGTTTAGATAAGAACGTGTTGAGTTTCACTTCATAAACAGTTTAAAGCCGTGACTAGAGCCACTACACAGTTTGATTGGCGATGCAAGATATCTATAAAGACTTCAATTAATGTGACTGTGCCGTTTTCAGCTGGTGCGGCAGGTGGAGCGCCACGGGCTCCGTCAGGAGGGCATCTTGAGAGTCCCTGGCCACAGGTATGAACTCTCATCAGCCTTCTCTAAACACAATAACCTTTATAACCAATAACCTTACAAGAATAACCTTCCTTGTAAGTTGCTATATATATAATCGTTAATGGGCTTTCTGCTGATGGGTTCCCTTCCCTTCCTTGTAAGTTATAGCATTGTCATCTTTACTGTAAAAAAGTAGATTAATTATGCAGACGAGGAGTCACAATAACGTGGCTGAAATATGTTGAAAAAACCACACACTAGAAAGTGAAGGGACGACGACGTTTCGGTCCGTCCTGGACCATCGACTTGAGAATGGTCCAGGACGGACTGAAACGTCGTCGTCCCTTCACTTTCTAGTGTGTGGTTTGGTCAATAGATTAATTATTTTCTCTTTGGATTTATTCTTTGTAAGCTACAACATTGTGTTGGTACATTCAGATCCCAGACGGAACAGCTGCGACGGACGCTGGACACCCACTTCTACTCTACCCCGTCGATGGCTGACGCCGCTCTCAAGAACGCTACGCCCAACGATGTAGCAGCTCTAGTCAAGACCTTCCTGAGGGAACTACCTCGACCTCTGCTCACGCACGCTTATATGCCGGCTTTCTACAAGACTCACCGTAAGTAGTTTGTTCGCTTTCACTGTTGAGTACGCTGCTAATATGCTCAGTGGACTGTGTTCAGAGACCTCCCTTGCACACAGTAATGAGAATTACATCTGACTGTAGGACTAAGAGTTATGATTTGTTAGTTTAAATTGCTATTTCATTACAGCTCTAAATCTGGAATATATAAAATATTTACTCATTAACAATAAAACAACAGGTGGGACCACTAGACTTCCTTAGACCTGAAGCACCAATATGTTTTGCATAAAAAATTGTAGCTACCTAACACTACTAAAGTAAACTGAACCCAAGAAATGGTATCATCGATCAATTGACGTCATAATTAAATCGCCTTCTAGTGTTGTGAAATGATTTGTACTGTACTCCACTCATCACCAGTACACCGACAGCATACTAATTCACATACATAATAGTGAGGTAAACCTAGTGTGAGCAGACAGCATTCCTTCATACGTGAGACGGTTAAGTTCCAGCTGCGTCTTGAGTATAGGTGACATGAACAACCCAGCGGGTTTTCTTCCTTGTGGAGAAATGTGTTGTACATGATGCTATGGCGGGGTGTTGTACATGATGCTATGGCGGGGTGTTGTACATGATGCTATGGCGGGGTGTTGTACATGATGCTATGGCGGGGTGTTGTACATGATGCTATGGCGGGGTGTTGTACATGATGCTATGGCGGGGTGTTGTACATGATGCTATGGCGGGGTGTTGTACATGATGCTATGGCGGGGTGTTGTACATGATGCTATGGCGGGGTGTTGTACATGATGCTATGGCGGGGTGTTGTACATGATGCTATGGCGGGGTGTTGTACATGATGCTATGGCGGGGTGTTGTACATGATGCTATGGCGGGGTGTTGTACATGATGCTATGGCGGGGTGTTGTACATGATGCTATGGCGGGGTGTTGTACATGATGCTATGGCGGGGTGTTCACTCGCGGGATGAGCAACACCGGGAGGGTGCAAATTTGGTAAAACCTAAATTCCTTGTGCCCAGGGATGACCAAATGTAAACTGTGTCAACAAAATTATTCGCACACCCTCCGTCACTATGTGATGGAGTGTGAAAAGATACGTGAATTTAGAGACAATTCTATAACCAGGGATTGAAGACATGGGTGAACGGGTGCTGGCACTAACTATGCTGGTGTTGTTGCTGCCCTGCCCGCACCGGGACACCCTCCACGCCGTCCTCGACCTCTGTGCCAGAGTTGTCACCTACGAGGCCGACAACAAAATGTCGCTCTATAATGTAGCTATGATCATGGCTCCCAACCTCTTCCTGCCCAACCACCAGCGGTCCAAACTGAACCTAAGGTCTGAGGACAAGGAGCAGCAACTTAATCACGAGGTGGGTGAACATGTGGAGTTTCTGTAGCATTCCAGGCCGTTAATTTATGATTGATTCTCATCAACAGTACTTGTGAAACATCTGTGCTTGGCAGTTTCTAAAATGAAAAAAGAAATTTAAGTTGTGTGAAAATAGAGACAATGATTTTAAGGTTTAACGTATATTAAGAAAATCAAAGTATGTAACTGACTTTCTGTATTGAATGAGTTAGACAAATAACAATTTAGCTCTTATTTTGTTTATTTTTTGTTATTCCTGACTGTTACAGTGACAAATGATCCTATCTGTATGTTAGGACATGTATATGAGTGGGATTGGCTGGTTATAAATAGGAGCTGCCTCGCATGGGCCAATACGCCGTCTGCAGTTGCCTTTGTTCTTATGTTCTTATCTATGCAGATGACGTATGCGAGCGTGACCACCACGCTGACCCAGGCAATGATCAAGTACCGCGAGGTACTGTGGACTGTCCCACATCGCCTCTTGGCTCAGATACGTCGCCAGTACCAGGCTGAGGCTCTCAAGCAGCACAACTACACTCCTGTGAGTATATCTAACCTTATGCTTTTTCTGTAATTTGGCTGTCTAATTTCCTGTCACTACCACCAGATGGGATGCGTTGTTTTCATTTTCTGCGCGACTACTCCAGTCGGTGAGCCAATATAATACCAGATGTATATTTGGATAAAGATAAAAATACTAGACTAATGGAAGGTTTTAATGTTTGTTTGTTTTTTAAATAAGTCTTTAAACCCCCCCCCCCCCAAAAAAAAAAAACTACAATTCTTCTACAGCAGAACTCTGTCAGCTTACAAGAAATAAATCTCTGTTTAGAGTTCCCAAAGTTTAACTCGGTCTAAGTAGAAAAGTTGTACAAATAAACGGTTCTAAGCTGTGCAACTGCCTCCTAAATATAACAAAGTGCTGTATAACTCGCAACCGATTTGAAAAAGAAATATGCCGAAAAATATACTTAATATGACTGCCACTGTGTGAATTCCAATAATTCTGTAGTCTCGAATCCTCAGTAAATAAGTTATTTTAGCCATAGACGTGAGTTCAATTCCACTTCATTGTAACAAAATGTTTTCACATATCACACTTGTGATTTCATTGTGCGTATTTTAATTAGTTTATAATCTGTCCAGGTACATCTCCCTCTCTCAATGCAATTAAAATAACCCACATCTATTATTTTTATTGCAAGATTTGTATAGATTTTATAAACTTGATTTATGGGGTAAGGAGCAGCAGGTTGTGCTCCTATACTGATCCTCTGAGTGGTGGAATAGATTACGGGAGGCACGAAAGGTCATCTGATCTGAGTGTTATTTTGACATCAATCATTTGCCCATAACTCTATGCATAATTAGAGATCTCATAAATAAAGACTCGGTGTACAACTAACATTCAGAATTATCCAATGTATAATTGTACTAAATCTATATTATTATTATTACAGTTGTATTGCAATTATTATTATTATTATTATAATTAATATGGAAGTACTGGCTGGCAGATGATCTGTGCATTTCAATGTGAGTATTTTATCACTAATATAGAATTTGAAAATCTTCAGGCTCCTACACTAGCAGCAGCAGCAACGTCTCCTACAAAAGTTGGCATGGCCTTCTGTCAGTTTTCCTGTTTGTCATTGTAAATAATGTTAAACTTTGTTGCTGTTATTGCAGATGCGTCGCCTTCTGTTGTCACGCAAGAGTAAAGAAACAATCCAGCGACCCATTGAAAATGAGGTGGACTATCAGGAAGGAGTGTTGAGAGTGTCTGCTCCACAGTTCAACAAGACCAATTACCCAGTCAAACTCGATTCCCGAATGACAGCCAGAGACCTTCTCACCAGGTACCTTTACCTCTGTATAGTTCGTTGACCATATGTGACATTTCTACTTCTATTTACAAAGAGTGGTATTCGACCCCTGGGACCCTCTGCCATAGCTGGTGCAACTACTGCTGCCTTTTACTGCTTTGTCATGCCTAATTTTAATACTGTAGATGGAAGTAGTATTCTAGTTCGACCTATTACTTGTTCCTAATTCTTACACTCGTACGTTCTCGTCTTTAAGTGTGTTCTCTGCTTTTGTTCTCATGAAAAACTTTCTTTCGTCATCTTGTACCTATAATCATCATCTTTTTCTATTTAAGTTCCTAATTTTCTTAGCATGTAGCCAGAACGTTAACAACAAGCGAATCTTTAACAACATGATGTGTGTGTGATATACTCGTGCTTTACAGATTTATTGAGGAGCTGACCCTTCTGCCTGAGAATCCCAGACGTGTGGAGGGTCGACGGGAGCTGCAGTACAAGAGGGTAGCCATAGGTAATGGCTCCCCGCCCTCCACAACTTTAGTGCCTAATACTTCAGAGCCTCATTTTCTGGCTTGCTTGCTTACTGGTTCCTTGAAGAACACCCTCCAGAAACATGCTCTTCATGAAAAGGGTGGAAATATCGGTAAGATTAATCAAATCAAAGTAACAAATTAGAAATTCATTTTGTAAACGAAGAACTAATATCGGTACTGAGTCTCTAGTAAGGTAAAAGTTTATTTTAATTTTGTCTTGTAAATATTTTTTGAGCTCCCTTTCCTAGATCTTCAGGGAAATAAAAATACGGGCTCAGTTAAAGGGGAATAAGTGGCATAGGGTTGGGCTTTGAAATGTAGACCACAGAATAATGTTAGTGTGGGAAAGTGGAAAAAGAACTATTACTAGCTGAAATTTCATCTTTGCTGAAGCGTAAATAATATAAAACTAGCAACCTAGGCCAACTGCTCTGCTACATAAATTTGCAGAACAAGGCTAGGGGTAGTTTTCATCGATATTTAATTTTGGTTTTATTATTTCTTGATCATTGTGCACTTAAACATGCATGCCTCGTGATGATAATAAATACTGACGTTTTCTTATGTGCATTTTTGTTTCACTCTTCTTTAAACAGGGGACCGCCGACTGGATCCAAATGCCAAGCTTTTGGCAATATACCAGGACAACCCCAATGCAGAGTTTGTGGTGAAGTGCCATCACCAAGGTGGACACATGTCAAGAAAAAACTCATAGTATTTCGATGACATGTACGAAACTCTCAAGATTACTAACGTCATTACTTAAGTCATCTCAGTGGCTTGGTGTCAGATGAAACATTATAGGAAGCTGCAGTGTTAAGTCTTAAAATTGAATACTTATACTTACCAAGAACTTTCTAAGGCCTGAACTTTAAAACGAGATCACGAAAATTTTTGAAGTGAAGTGTTATTACATTGGTAATAACAGGGTAAACCCTCAGACACTCGCTAGAGTTTTATAGTGTGTGCTTAACAGGAAAAACAAATTAGAATAAACAAGAAATTAATCAGTTTATTGGGAACCGAAAGAAAACTTACAAAGAGATATTTGATAAGAAAGAACAGCATTTGTCACTGAATGGCAAATGAATGATAAAAATTATATCCCTTATCTACGAAAGAAACGTGGTCAATATTGTTAATGCGTAATATTGCATATGCTATAATGTCTTGATAATGTTCTTTAATATCGTTGAGCAGCATTACAATGTTTACAGACGTTTGCTTATACTATTCCCCCACATATGAATATTAATGCTTTAAAAATAGTATAATTATTTACAGCACTTCCCACTTGCTAGTCAGAACTGTATATTCTAAGTGCCTTGTTGCGTCAAGTGATTAAACTAATCTAATGCAGACGTGCTCGGTACAATCAGGACAATGTTCAGAATGCATGCACCCGTTGCATAGGCCTGACCCATATATGTTCTTGGATAACATTCATTATACACTATGAAAATTTTGTATGTTAATGTTTTTATCTATTTAAGTGTTAATGATTGTTTACAATCATTTGCTCACGTGTAAAAAAAAAATGAAAATGCTCAGATTTTAGAACTTTTGAGAGAAACTTCTGGTCCACTGTAAGTGTTATGTATGTTTGAGGTTGTTCATAACCATTTATAATGTATGGTTTGGTGAACATACAAGCGTTGTAATGTTCACGATACACAATCATTGGCCAATATTAAGTGTACCGAGCCAGAGCAGCTGTTGCTTGGGGTTCAAGCACGATCTCCAGGATGTAGTGAATTGTGACGGTTAAATGGATCACTGCTGAGGACCTTCATGCTCAGTCAGGCAGAAGTCCTTGACATTTCTACAGGAAGCTGATGGCATACATTCCTTGCTAGTATTACTGTATAAAATTTGATGAAAACTTTCTTCTCCATTGCATTTTCCATGTAATTTTTAATGTAAGAAAGTTGGTTAAGATTGTGTTACCTTTGTATCATGTGTAATTGTGTAAACATCAAGTCTGTTCAGGCGTGGAAAGGGATTGTCATTTATGTTCGTATTGAACGTTCATATTGAGAACAAATATGATGGTCATAATATGACCGTACACATAACTTGTCCGTGAAGTGTGAATCTTCGTGTTTTAGGTGCTACACATCCCTAAATCAGTGCTATTAGGGTTTGGCATAAGTGCCTAGGATGTAGCAAGTGGTGCTGAACGGAGCTTTCAGCTGGTGCATATAGTCACCGCTCGCTGATAATAAATAATATCTTTCTTCCCGAGTTAAGGATAATTTAAAGGACCAATACTTTTCCCTGCCAATGAGGACACGAGTAATGAGAAATCCTGCATCTTGAGACCTGGGAGGGTCTCAAGATCTTGAAGCTCCGGTCTTGCATCTTGAGACCGGAGCAAGGATCCCCAGATTTGTTGTGAAAGTGTCTTGTCTAACCTATACCCCCTTTAAACAGAGATCAGTCGAATGTGTGTGTCTTGGCGATGTCACAAATGTTCTGAAAGCTCTGTTGTTGCCGAGAATTACAAATGCTCACTATGCAGTTTATGCTGTATATAACTTGTGTTCACTCAGTCTGACTGACTGACTTGTACATTTTGGTTTGTTCATATGGTAGGCGTTTTATAAGGTACTGTATTATTTTTCTTCAAATTGAAACTGTGTAAAGTTACATTTCCTTGATGAATTACATGTATCGAATAATTTTGTGTATAGTTTATATTTTCTTGTGTACCTTTTTTTATTGTAGAGTGAAGTACATATTCACCCACCTTTCCTATGTAAGAAATGGTTTTTTTTTCTGTATATAAAAAACATACTATACATAATACACAAACCATTTTATGTTTATTTACTCTATTGATTTTGAAGATAAAATATTCAGAATTTTGTAAGAGGCCATAAAGGATGTTTGAGGTGCTAATTAACGAAGTTGGTATACTGAATACAGTTATGTTAGATAAGAATTGTATAGCAATGTGTGTATGGAAATGTGTACAAGGGCAATTTCAGATACTAATCTATTTTACTTGTTACACAACTATATATATAGAAACAGGAACTCCAGCTCTAAACGACAGACGAACAATACATGTATTTATTGCCATCTTCGGGGAATCTGACTTCTTTTGACATCGATCATCTTGTCTTTCTGCTTTTGTATTGCCAGCCTCAATAATATCCTGTAACTTCTGAATATTCTGCAAGACTGCTAAATAGGGCGCTGAATGGAACTACCCATGAAACCTTCTTAGTATGTTAAGATAAGCATCTTATTGCTACGTAATTACAATTATTACTTAACCTATTATAGGTATAGGTTAAGTAACAATTGTAATTACGAAGCAATAAGATGCTTATCTTAACATACTAAGAAGGTTAGGTAAGGTTGGTGTTTTCTATGAAACTTTTCAAGGTAAACTAAAATATTCACAAATTAGTATGTCACATATGCACTTATTAAATATGTCAATATTGACTGTAAAAATGCGAGAACGAGTTGAACAGTGTCAAGCTCACTAAGCCTCAGTAGGGCAACAGCTGCTTCTTCACACACGCTGTTTACTAGACTTTTAGAACCACCTATCCGCCTAAGCCATTAAGATGAAAGTAGTGTTTTAATTTAAATCACTGGAAAAACTCATGAGCGATAGCGAGACACCATTTACTCACCAACAGCTTCCTTATCCCTGCCAATAGATAGCCCCTGTCAGGTAAATTGAGGTAAAACTAATTTCTTGATAAATTATGGAAAATGATCTTTTCCTAACAATCGGTCGTAATTTTATTATTATAATGGTAAAGATTTAGACTGGATTTCCCACAGTTGTCAGAATTTTCCAAACTAAACCAACTAAAACAGACCAGTCTGGCACTGACTGAGAAAGCTGTCGCAGATAATTGTTCGAACTTGGGTCGCCAGGGTGGAAGTTCCGGAATGAGAAATATATAAACAAAATAGAAACGTTTACTCGTAAGTGTAAAAGGCAAATGCACAAACAAAATAAATACAGTCGCTGTGTTCTCTCCAACAACATTCCCATTACGAGAGAATCCGTTACAGTGATGCCAGCTGTCTCCCCACACAGCTGGTTAGTATAGTTAGATTATTACAGACCATACACCCATCCAGTGGGCGGTGGTGGGAGGGTATTACAGACCATACACCCATCCAGTGGGCGGTGGTGGAAGGGTATTACAGACCATACACCCATCCAGTGGGCGGTGGTGGGAGGGTATTACAGACCATACACCCATCCAGTGGGTGGTGGTGGGAGGGTATTACAGAGCCCACACCCATCCAGTGGGAGTGTATTACAGACCATACACCCATCCAGTGGGCGGTGGTGGGAGGGTATTACAGACCATACACCCATCCAGTGGGTGGTGGTGGGAGGGTATTACAGAGCCCACACCCATCCAGTGGGAGGGTATTACAGACCATACACCCATCCAGTGGGTGGTGGTGGGAGGGTATTACAAACCACACACCCACCCAGTGGGTAGTGGTGGGAGGGTATTGCAGACCATACACCCATCCAGTGGGCGGTGGTGGAAGGTCATTACAGACCCCACAAAATACACAAGTCCCGTCAAATACTTCTGCTAATCTTCGCTTAACAAAAATGGGAGGACACTAAAGCATTAAACCAATCAAAAGTAACCACGCAAAATGAAAAAAAATTACACCAACACAAACTCTCAAAACCAAAAAGGCCACGTCGCTTCCTTTTTCAGACTTCCACTTCTGTTCAGCCCATTTTCGATCTATTCCCTACTAGCCAATTCTACCATCAAAATTCTAAGTGTTGAAACTAGAGGAATATTTTACCATGAATAACAGAAGCTCAGTGGCCGGCCCGACCTCCAGAGAGCTTGGATAGTCTCTTGAGGAGATTTCTAGGGATTCCGGCAGCCAGAAAATCCTTGGATGTAAGAGCGCTGCCTGTAGGAGCGACCGAGGCGGTCAGGGGAGTGCTGAGAGTAGGGCAGTAGGTAGTGAAGGCATCCCAGGCGGCTTCCAGGAGCGGGGGCGCTTCCAGCCTGGCGCGGTACACAGCGCTAGACCGCTCGCTGCTGCCCACGCTGCTTAACCCACCGTACACGTACAGACACCCGTTCTGTAACACAGGGTTGCCGTTACCAGAAAGGCTGAGGGAGGGCGAAGGGGGGGGGGGGATTATTTAACTGTGCCCTTGTGAGGATGGTGTAGAGTGACGTACCTGAGTGAGGGAGGCGTCGTGGAAGTAGAGTGGGGTGGGAAGGGTGTAAGGTAGTCGCGTCCAGCCGAGCGTTACCAGGTCTAGTCTCCACACGTCGTCCATCACCTCCGTCCCGTCCGTGCCTCCAACCACATACAACTCTATCAAATAAAGTATTTTCAAGAGAAAGCAATAACCCCCACTATGCCTATATAACACTTATACATAAATTAATCAAAAGTATGTCAATATTTTTCAAGTTATTGATACGAAAGCAGAAGAAAGCATAAAGTTGTCTATGCCAAAAGTGCAATTCACTAAGGAGATTTAACTAATGTAAAGACATGGTTTGGAAGTATACTTCCCACTTGTAGCATCCCTGAACACAACTACTATTCTGCCAGGGGCAGCAGATCGGCCATGACCACCCTCCACCAAAACCAGATGACACTGTCGCCTTGCGTTGATTCCGGGAATTAAGGTCCCGCGCGACCCGGTCTTAGGGACTGGGTAACCTTATTACCCGGTCACCAACCAAGAGGTTTGTGACCAGACCTCCTGGTTGGTGGTCTGGTGAACCAGGCGGCTAGGCGCAGCTGTTCGCAGCCTCACGTATGAATCACGGCTCACTTGGATTTGTTGGACGTTCCAAAGTATATTTAGAATGCGAGGCGGACGATTGGCCGGCGATCGAATAGCATAAGCCCGCAGGCGGCCAATCACAAATCGGAGCACTGCTAATGTCACCACTTTTAACACCACACACATTAACAGGATAACATCAGCTGCATATACAAACTAGTAAACAAGGATGGCAATCAAGAATCTCAACAAAGAAGCCTTCAGAATATTATAAACAGTTCGGTAAACTAGTTCTAGAGTATACAGCAACAATATGTAACCCTCACCTGATAAAACACTAAGAAAATTGATGTCCAGAGATTTGCCATAAGACAGACTACAGGTAAGAAATTAAGTAGGAATATACACCAAGTGAATTCAAACAAACGATAATGGAAGAGCGAACAAGAGGAGGTAACATGATCATAACGTACAAAGTAATGTGAAAAAGACAGTGAATATATAGACCTTTCCAAGCGAGGGACAAGAGAAGGAGAGACCGCCGGTAGGCGACAAAAACACTGACGAGCCAGATCAATGTAGGCAACCACACACTAGAAGGTGAAGGGACGACGACGTTTCGGTCCGTCCTGGACCACTGTCAAGTCGAATCGCGTTGTTATTCATAAACACCTACCGTGATGTCTCTGCACGGCAGCGAGGCAGCGTCGTGGGCTGGGGTGGGCTTGGAGCCGTGGGTCAGGGTGGGTTCTCAACACTTCCCATTTCCCCATGTCGATGTTCAGTACAGGAACCTGGCGAGTAGGGTACCGGTTAGTGGCGAACACTCACTAGGGCGCAATCACACGTCTCGTAACTGGTGAGAATGACAAGATTTCTGTTACGTGGAATCGTTCTAAGCCAGTGAGGCAGGAATGGCAGTGGAAAAATTATATTGATGCAGTTGTGAGCGTGTTTATTTTTTTCAATATTAAAATAAGTTAACTTGACAATTTTAAAAGTACCATAAGTAGCGAATATGGAAAGCTGAGCAGCCTCACCGCATTAATCCATCAGTCGCATGGGGATCGAAGGAGGCGGAGAGATGCCCATTTTGCCCCCAAAAGACCTATTTCGTATACAGTATTTAAAAAATATCACCACCACAGAAGGACACTCCCGGGTGGGATGTGTAATTACAGGCTCCCTCCCGCCTCAAAATAAATCTTTAACATGAGTTATCATATTTGCCGGGGAAGAGGACAGATGTTTTTAGACTAGCAACAACCCTGTATATAATAATAATATTTACATGCACAAAATCAAGCTTCTTCCATATCCACAATATATTCCAGATAATGTGAAAGAAACCGTCTTCAACTTCAATGATTTATGAAAAAATTGACCCAGTAATCTTGTTCCCACATCTCAACACTCCAAGAGATGCACAAGAGTACAGGAGAATTGCACCCGTTCGTTGATTAGAGTTCCTCATGAAAGACCAACTCTGTGGACGATGCACAAAAGTGGCAGGTGAGGTGATTTCTGCTTTCATGCAAAATTATTACTAAGCATCACGAATGACCAGCAATGGACCAAATACTATATAAAATGGCAAAAAATTTAGCAAATACTATATAAAATGGCAATCAATTTAGCAAGTGCTAGATAAAATGGCAAACAATCTAGCAAATACTATATAAAATGGCAAACAATCTAGCAAATACTATATAAAATAGCAAACAATCTAGCAAATACTATATAAACTGACAAACTGTAGAGCTATTCGCGGGACACAAAGCACATTTCAACTACCATATATAAAATACTGCTTTGTTGTCAGTTGAAAGAGAGGTCTAGGCATAATAACTCACAATAATAAATAACAATAATAAAATAAGGCATAATAAAACTAGTACCAGCAGTAGGTCAACAACGAGTGAGAGCAGCAGCTTAACAAGTACGAACAGTAGAAAATATAACCAACAAAACAAGGAATCGCCAATCGAACCTTTGCATACAAGACAAATAAGGCAACCATTCAGCTTTACAAGTCCCCTGAACCCCCTTAACCATGATTAAGTGTTGTATTAGGGGACGTAAACAACACCTACAGAAAGATTATTAGAAAACGTTCAGAACCAGGTAACTGAATCATCCCCCCCTAGAAGTAAGACGCCTTCAATGTTTGGAGGCCCAGTACTTAGGCGACACTGTTGAGGAATCACCTCACAGCAGTGAATCTCACTGCTGGACCTCACAGAAGACTTTAAAGTTAATGAACAAGACTGCCAACCTAAACATCTATCACTCTTTTTAAGATGCCTAGTATGTCAAGAACGAGATTGTCAATCTCATGTACCACTAGCACAATTATACAACCAGAAAATAGTAACTGTTAACTATATCAGATAATGTATTCGAATAGCCAGTATGTGGACCAGACAACTTGGGGTGGGTGTGTGTGGACCAGGCAACTTGGGGTGGGTGTGTGGACCAGACAACTTGGGGTGGGTGTGTGCAGACAACTTGGGGTGGGTGTGTGGACCAGACAACTTGGGGTGGGTGTGTGCAGACAACTTGGGGTGGGTGTGTGGATCAGACAACTTGGGGGTGGGTGTGTGGACCAGATAATGAAGCATATGGACGAGACTTACCTGGTCGAGCGGGAAGACTGTGAAGGAATCGGCGCCACCCACCACCACCACTCGCCCGCCCCACACACCAATTTCCGCCCTATATCGCCCCATAGGCTCGCCATCCTGGGATACACACACACATGCATTTTAATAAACAACAAATGCGCCTATAGTAATACAAACCACAGACTTAATCTAATGTGTTAAATATATTTACAATGTATTCATTATACACAAATTATTATATAATGATTGTATGATGGTGGCACGACATGGCGATTGTATGGTGGAGCGGAAAATGTGCTATAATTTTGGGGCGAGTGTGATCTTGACTAGTCAGCCAAATAATCGCAGGAAATAAGCTCACGGTAATATTAGGATTGAGAATGACTACATAATTAGTGGTATTATCTACTCTGTCCATGGTTAGGTTATGGTTACTTAAGGTTTTATTAAGTTAGGTCTTATTACGCTTGGTTACATTAATTCAGTGTATTTTATTGACAATAATATGAAATATGGGATTCGAAAACTATTTCAGTGTACCCGAGAATTATGTTTACAAAAAAACATTCTTCAAAGAAAACGTTTTCAGCATACACTTTTGTATATTTAAAACCAACGATTTTTAATACAATAGAGTTATAACTTTAGAATACTCCCTGTTTAGGACAAAGGTTCACTTACCAGTTTACATGTTGACTATTACTGGAACCGTAATATGCTTTCAGACCATATCAAATGTCTAAACTATCCAGGTAGTTTGAGGAAGAGGGGGGGGGGGGTTCTCATGGTAATGGATTTGGTCTGAGAACGGGCTCCGACTAGTATGGATGTGTTCATTCATTTAGTACAGTTATTTTTAGTCAAACAGTAAGTAATGAATAATATAATATTAATATCACACATTAACAGAGGATACAATATGGATAAAATATTGGCGAGGAGTCATGCCATAGTTTATACACTGAGGCGGGTGTTACGGGCACACCTTAAAGTGGTGGGTGTCGGCGAGGGTGGACCAGGTGCCGGAGGGGAGGTGGAGGGCGTGGGCGTGTAGGGAGAAGTGGTAGCCAGAGGTACCACCCACTGTGTACACCATCTCTCCATGTCGGCGTGCGGCCTGTAGAAACACCTTTAGGTCAACCACTTCAGTCGCTACATACAGCCCGTCCTCCAAAACAAAACCCTAAAGTCCATTCCATACACCCGCCAAACCCCCCTGTTTATGAATGAAAATGGTTTACACACGACTCATAACTTATGACGTTCGAACACTTCCGGAACAAGTTCTTGGCTGACGACTTTTGTTCGAACTACAGCGCTGTAAACGCTTCTTCATCCCACGAAGTACAAATAATCGCCAACAGAACCTAAACACCTATCCTAACCAGTGCCTAAATATGCACAATATGCTAATATATAATAATATTAATTTATATTTGAGAAAAGTTCTGTTTTTAATCAACAGAATGTTAAAATTGATGAATGCGTCCTTGGGGTCGACCGCTGGATAGAATAGACTTGGTCGGAGGACGGGTTGCTACACAAGCAACACAATGTCAGAACAACACACTTTTCCTACATTATCAGAAATGTAATTAACCTATTACCAATACATCGTAATCTGGATCACATGTTTAGATTTAAGTGGCTATTGGTATAATGAAGGGGAGGTACTTTAATACTGTATATATTAAACACACACACATATATATATATCCCTAAACCTATGATATAACCGGGGGGGGGGGAGGGTTTGAGCCTATTAAGAATCATAAATTCAATTCTAAAACATTTACAAGTTCATACAAAATTGAACTCACTTGACCATAGAGTTGGGGCGGCGTGTCCCCGTGCGTGGGTAGAGTCCTCCACTCCCCCGAGCGCACGTCACAAGCCTCCACCTGGCTGCTGATGGCACTGCCGAAGGGAAAGTTAGTACCGCCCAGCATGAGGAGGTCGTGGCCGGAGGTGGCCAGGCAGTGGGAGATACTGGCAGCCGGGGTGAAGGATGAGTCGGAAAGCTGCTCCCACTCGCATGTTGTCAGGTTAAGGCGCCATGTCTGCAGTACGGTACAGGTAGCTACTACAAACTTTCATGTCACTAAGACATTTCAGTTCCAATCTGTTCCTACATAGTCTAGCTGTCGCCTACCGAGAGTTGTGTCCTAAATGAAGGAATAATAAAAATATAAACCAGTATGACTTCCCAAGCAAACCCAACTGCCTGACCAACCCGTCGCCTGACGCATACTAAACATTACTAAATCAAACCTTAATACGTAATGGAACCAAAGTACCGTTAAAACCATGAGCAGAGACGACTAACACACGGGGAGGGGCTTCAGGAACCATGCAATCTGTGTCGCAGGATATTCATAAGGTCCTAAATATCACTTTGTATCCCAATATGAAAGGGAAAAAAACATAGGCAAGCGACGTCACAGTCACAGCATTCTCGGCCGATTTCTAGGCCAGGTTTGTCACGTAATGGGCAGCTGAAATACCAATTAAACTGATGCCAGAAAAAGGCGAATTAATAGTGGTGGTCTTTGCCGAATTCTGATTTAAACAAAAGATTATCGTGGAATTGGAAGGCGAAGGGTGGAAGTGCAATATAGATTCTACTATAGATTCTTAGATTCTACTAAGAATCTAATATTCTTAGTAGCAAAATGTTCACATCAATAACATTAAATAAAAACACAATATAGAAAGTGCAAAGTATTGATCATAGTGCTAAGCATTAAGATTTCGTTGATGTTTATTTCGTCAAAGGCTAATCCTGTCTTGAAAACTACACGTCACACTCTTAACAAAACAAAAAAGAAACTATGTCATTCGTTATATAAACCATTAAACACCAATACTATTGGTGCTAAAGAAGCACAGAATTTTATGCCGAGGTTGGCAGTCAGTAAAGCTGGTTAGACTAGGCTCCGACGTGCCACAGGGTGGTGGGGAGGGGGTGACATGCTAAACCCTGGGTTCCCCAATGGGGGTGGGGGGAGGGTTCCGTGGTGTAGCCTAGGAACACTTTGGGTAGGATAGATACACCTTGGGAAGAAGGTGCCACGCTAAGGTGACCCTTTCCTCAACCTACACGTTCCTGGGTTCAGTCAAGCGGAACCCACATTAGTCAGAAGCGTACCGCTTCGTTCTCATTACATTTCAATTAATCCTTTGGATCAAAGGTAGACCCGAAGGCGCCCGTGGGTCATAATCCCTGCATGACATGAATTTTGCGCCACAGCAGACTCGTATAACACTTGCAAACTATATTAACAGTCATAAGGTGACGTTGCGGAACACTTTGGTAATTCATATTAAAAAATTATTTAGCAAAAATTATTATACAAGTATTTTTAAGTTCGATCACGAAACACTGATCATTTGTATGCGGAAAATCCACATAAGCAATTTCATCTATCCTTCACACCTTATAATTACAAATTAAGCACATAAAACCTAGACCTCGCAGCCCAAGAAATATATCGTTGGCAATCCATTTTTTTAGTTAAAATTAGATTAGTTAGTATTTTAGTTTAGTTAAATTTATTTACTCTTATTTCGAATATTAAGAGATACTTCTACACAACCCTTAATAAAGCAAAATAAGTTAGAACTTATAAGGCAAAGTCCTTCATGACATTTCATTTAATCATTAATATTTTAAAACTTTGAAGCTTATCCCACAACTATGCCTTACCACCCGAGGCTGCAGCGTCAGAAAATGATGCGAAATGAGAAGGCGAAAGATGGGGGAGTAGAAGAATGATCAATAGCAGGAGGAGGAGCAATAGAAATAGAAGGGAAAAATACATTAATTTTGCTCTACTCATCCTCCTGCAGAGCACTGGTCCAGAGCACTGGTCCATGCCTCACCTCCTGTAGGGCACCGTAGGATGGGTTGTAGCCTCCTACGCAGTAGAGGAAGGAGTCGCTGCAGGATATCCTGTGACCGCTCCGTCCCACCGGGGTGTACCCTGCGACAGGATAAAAGTAGGCTAAGGGTATGGCTTCCAATTGTCACGAAGAGGAAGACTCTTAGGCATATCAAGGTCTTATTATCCAACGGCTGCTCATTTACTAGAATGCGACACACAGCAGTCGACTAACTCCCGGATGCCTAATTTACTGCTAGATGGATAAAGGCTTCGAGTGTAAGGACAACGTGCCTACACGTCTCGCCCTGCCCAGGAATCGAACCCGTGATCATGGGTTTTAGCCGATTTGGCTAACTAATGTGATACCAGCACATCCACAAAAGTTAAATGGTCGCTAATCCAACCGCCAAACTTCTGTTTATGAATGAAAAACTGCTCACACACTACCCACATACTACAAAATACAAGTAATTGCTAACAGACCCTGAACACCTAACCTACACCTAAACATGCACAATATGCTAGTATATAACATTAATTTATAATTTAAAAAATTCTATTTTGAATACATATCAATGTGTTTTTGGAGTTGACCGTCGGACGGACGAACACTGTTGTGGAAGGGTTGAATAATAGCCAACAGAGCATAAACATCCAGCCTAACTATACACACAACTTTAATATATAGTATTAATTGATATATGATAAAACTATTTTAATAGAAAATGTTAAAATTATGAATGCGTCTCGGCCCTTGATCCAGCGTCTCCTTGAGCGCAGGCGGGAGAGATACATAATAATTTACACGTGGAAAATAGTAGAGGGGCGGGTCCCAAACCTGCACACAGAAATAACATCCCACGAGACAAGGAGGCATGGCAAGATGTGCAGAATATTCCCGTTGAAAAGCAGAGGTGCAACAGGTACTCTGAGAGAGAACTCTATCAACATCAGAGGCCCGAGACTGTTCAACACGCTTCCACTACACATAAGGGGCATAACTGGCCGACCCCTCGCAGTGTTCAAAATAGAACTTGATAAACACCTCCAAAGGATACCTGATTAACCAGGCTGTGATTCATACGTCAGGCTGCGATCAATCAATAGGGCGGGAGGGGGGGGGCGCATTCAAGAATGTGTTTAAGAACTCACATGACATATTGCGTCTGCAGAAACTAGGTTTGCTTGTCAACTTTTTCAAAGCCGATAAGATTACGGTCGAATTAAGTTATCACGATATGTAATCAAAAGGATTTACTAATTATAACGTCCTATGTCTCCACGGATGTGAATTATGAAACTTAGGCCAGTGACGTAAGGAAGTTAAGATTCTAGTGATGCTGAAGACGTATCCTGGGCGTTAAGATCTCAAGCATGCTTTGATGTCCTGACCTTTACTTACTACACTCATTCATTCATTCATAATAATTTGACATTTACAGGCTTTCGCTTACTACCTTTCAACCCATCCTCCTGTTTAGATAGTATTTTTTGTAACTATGTGCAGTATAGTACAAATATTGACGTACTAAGCAATTAGATAGTAAAATTTGGTGCTGTTCACTTTTATAGGCCGAAAAAATTAAGCTAAAAAACTAACTTAAATATTCCTAGGCAAAGTATAACACACATATGTACTATATTAGGCCTCAGACAGCTTGTATTAAGCCGAGGAAGGTTAGGTTACTTAATTTGTCTCTGCAACATAGAGGACATTTTTACCGGCTTGTCTAAATTCAATAGTACCGATTTCTACTTTCTAACTGCGCCAAAAAAAAGTTCCAGCCCCGCTCCTGTGCCAGGTAAGTCCACTACGGGCTCACCATAGCCCGTGCTACTTTGAACTTTTTGTTCCCAGTAGCTGAATCTTAAACAACAACAAATTCTAACTGCGTTGTTCTATGGTCCTCATCGTTACTATAAGTACTACCAAAACAAGAGGATCTTGAGGTTATCTTGAGATGATTTCGGGGCTTAGCGTCCCCGCGGCATGGCCCTCGACCAGGCCTTTAACATATCCCCAGGAAGCAGCCCGTAGCAGCTGTCTAACTCCTAGGTACCTATTTACTGCTAGGTAAGAGGGGCATCAGGGTGAAAAACATTTTGCAGATTTGTCTCAACCTCCACCGGGGATCGAACCCGGAAATTCAGGTACTACGAATCCGAAGGGCTGTCCACTCAGCTGTCAGGCAATATCAGGGCGGCGGTGGGCGCCCCCGATATTGGCGCCGAACCAGAAAAATGGCGCCGAACTAGACATGCCCCCCCCCCCCCCCAGGAAGCTTCTTGGAAAGAAACCATGGTGGAATTCCTTGCAGCTATTGCACCCAGGGGCCAGGAAACAGGATGTGGGGAAGAACTAACTCCTTGATGAGGCAATCACTGACCTGGTCAGTGGTAACGGCCATATAACGTGGATAGGATGGACTGCATTTTTTACTGGAAGTGTTAATATAATTAACAAATACAAATTACATTAATATGACGTATATAACGGATTCGCGCAGTCAATATTATTTGTAGTCAACAAATTAATAATGTGCACTGTGTTAAAGATTACAGCCCAAGTTAATTATTATACATTCGAGCATGACCACTGTCACTACGTCTCTCGTAAACTCCCTCTGTATGCCGGCTCTGATGGAAGATTGGGACAGAAATTCCAAGCACAAGGAATAAACGGTAAAATACTAGAATGGATAAAACAAATGTTCAATAAAATAAAGGGTCGTCCTAAATAGAAATTAATCTGGACAAATTTTGTGAGTGGAGTACCGCAAGATTCCATATTGAAGACAACTATTTTTGTAATATACATCAAAGTCAGAGGAGAATATTTCAAACCATATCATCAAATTTGTAGACGACACAACAATCTACGGTAAAGTGGAAAGCAGAGATGTTATTGAGGCCTTGCAACGCGATCTACACGAACTTCACACATGGACAGACATACGCAAAACCCTACATATAGAGTGTAACAATTCCCTTCATAACTATTGTAACACGAACATGCAGCAGATTGATAAACAAAAGTGTCTAGGAGTTATCCACCAGTCATTGAAAGTTGCTCAAAAAGTAGTTGCTGCTATAAAAAAAAAATGAAAAGCCTAAGTTATAATAAAAAAAACTGACTTAAAGGAAAAGAAAGTGGTTATTCAACTGCACAAATCTGGTGCGTCCCATCTGGAATACTGAGCCCCTATGCGGGGAGACCTCATCTTCAAAAGGACATATCTACTTTATAAAAAGTTCAACACGAGCGACAAAATTCAACTCGCCTTCACCACGAAGGAATAATTGAAGGTTTTAACATTCTGATGGAAAAAAACCCTTGACAGACCGCCAGTTTCCTGTCCCCGTAGGCCACTATGGAGACAGTCACCCTCGTGTAAATCTAGTTAAATCACGTATCTTGACTTGGCAAATACATTATTAGAATGTATTGTAAAATGATCTTAATTCTGTGTTTTAACATTTAGTGATTAGCCTAAACCCATAATTATATACCCAATAAAGAGTAAAAACAACACGCACCGCCAGCTGACCACGTCTGTATCTCCTCCATGACAGTGTCCTGCATCGTGGCCTCTCTTCCTTGACACAGCGATATGTGGCTCTAATGTCGCTCCTAAGGAAATGGTTGGGAGTGGTAGTAGATGCGACTTCTAAGGGGATGACTAGTACATTATGTGCTTTCTAAAGGGATGATAGATTACTGATGTCGCTTCGATAGGAATGACTGGTTATTGATGTCGCTTCTAAGGGGATGTCTGAGAGCAAGTAAATGTGCTCCCAGATAGTTGGGTAATGACAAATGTTAGACTGGTTTGAGCACGTGGATATTCCTGGAGCCACCGTGTGGAATGCCCCTTCCTCGAGTGCGTGCCGTCGACTGACTAGCAGAGCTCCTCCAACCACTCGAGTATTTCTTGACCCAGAGTTGCCATCGAGGCTCGCCAATCTTTCCAAATATTCAGCAAGGATTTCATTATTCGTTAAAGTATCAGGCTGTGATTCATTTATCAGGGAATATTTATACAAGCAACAGATCACACTGGAGTGATTTTGGGTGTAACCGCCGCCTATATTAACAGCCAAAGTTTACAAGTGTAAACTACTATGTAAAAAAATCTGTTGCCACAATTAATGCACCATAATTGTAACGGATTCAAACCGTAAAAAATCTAGTGCTACAGTGACATTAAAAGTACTGTGATGTTCAAGTATGTTTATTGAGACAAGAAAAAATACATCTCAAAGGGTAGCTTAGGCTATTTCTACCCCCCTACTGTGATGTTGATGTTTCTTTAGACTAATGAACAGGGTAATAGGTAACCTACAGGTTGCTAGACTAGGTTAGGAGAGTTGAAGAGTCAAGAAGATTCGAATACTTCTGGTTAGTTAAAACTGGCAGAAATACCAGTGCTTGAGCCTATCATGTGTATTTACATTTCTGGCACTTCCCATGGGGCGGGTATGGGGTCTATAATAAACTAATTAAACTAACTCATGTTGGTGTTATAGATCCAGTTAACGGAGCAGACGATTTCATGCAAACTTTTGAACAACTATTTTCTCTATCGAGTGCATATAGTCTATCGAAAACACGATGTAACATTTATACTCAATGTATTATAACATAGGCCAAACTTGTTTTATATTACTTATATATACAAGAGTTCTTACATTCTTGTAAAGCCACCAGCACGCATAGCGTTTCGGGCAGGTCCTTAAGCAAATTTTCTCTGGAATACGACCCGCTAAATCGATTAACAACCAGGTACCCATTCACTGCTGGGTGAACAGAGGCTACAGTTAAGGTTTGGCGCCCAGTCAATCCTCCCAGGTCAGGATACGAACACAGGCCAAATCGCTTGCGAAGCGTAGGGCGAATGTTTTACCACTGCGACACGGGGACCCTAATGTATATTGATTAGTCAGTGTGTAATGTATTATATATTAATGTATTGTACATTAATGTATTATACAATACATATGTAAATACCAGTTTGGAAATCAAGTTGACAAAATAATTAAATCAAAAGGTTGTTTAAAGCGAAGGTTAGATACAAATGAACGAGTTTTAATATAATTAATAATTCATTGTGTCGGGGACAGGCAGCCAGAGTGTGTACATACACGTTAGGCTTATATCAAGGTCCTCCCCCAAGGTCGAATTACTGACCTTCCCCAGGATGCAATCCAACAACAAGCTGACCAACTCCGGAGTATCTACTTACTGCTAGGTGAACAGACCCATTAGGTGATAGGAAATGCGACCAACCATGTCTGTCCCACCCGGGATTCGAACCCGGAATTATCGATTATGAGTGGAGAACGAACCCTACTGTACTACTGGGACCCTTATATCTAACCTAATATAAATAGGCGTTTCCTCGTATGAACTACAGTAATAGGTCTTTTGTAGTTCCTTTACTGCAGAGAGTACAGGGCCCTAAATCGTCTCTCCCTGCCAAGAATTTCAACTTGGTGTACAATAGCTCTTTACATTTATACACCGACTTACCTAATGCGTCAGTGATTTAGGGGCCAGGATGGCACAAGTGCCGGATGAACCCTGATATTTCTGGGTCAAGAAAGACTGCATACCCCCATGCAGGAGGCGAACGGAAGGGAACTATGAGGAGTAAGTATTGTTGTTGTTTTAGATTCAGCTAATCGGAACAAAAAGTTCCAAGTAGCACGGGCTACAGTGAGCACCTAAGTGAAGGCTCTTCGGAGCCATTATCTGTATCAATAGCTGCTACTGGAGATCTGGCACGGACCAGGAGAGAAAGCGCCAAGCCAATACGATTATAAATCACTGGGAAGAGGTCAGGATATGAATTTGGGATGTGACGGGGGAGGAAGGAATGGAGAGCCCAAGTTCAAGTTCAAGTATGTTTATTGAGATAAGCAATAAATACATCTCAAAGGGATAGAGTAGCTTAGGCTATTTCTACCCCCCTCTACTTCAAGTCCCTCAAGGGGCGCACAAATTCAGTGAGTACAAATAGACATATAACAGTACAAGAATCCCATTTAACATTGCATACAGCAAGTACAGCATATAATTGTTACATTCTTGGAGCAAAATTCTTGTAGCTCTTAAGTATACTGTCTATTATACCATTATCACACATCCAAACAATTTGATGTGGTACACTATTTATTTCCTTATTTCTATATTTTTCAATAAGGTGACACTCTAATACATAATGTTCTAAGGTGTGGGCGTACGGCATGCTACATAATTTACACTCCTTATCTTTTTCACTGACATCGACACCGTATTGCCAGATATATTTATATCCTAATCGTAATCTCATGTAAATTGAATCCTTCCAAGTAGACTTTCCTTTACCATAAGTGAAGGACGAATTTATATTTATTATTGAATAATTCTTAAGTGTGTTACTACTGTCCACCAATGCCATTCTCTTTATCATTTCTTCACCCTCCTGAATCACCTTGAGTCTTGTTTTCATTTGTTTCAAGGTTAACTGACATAATGGAGCGCCCGACCCCACGAAGAAACCCAACGGGAAAACTGTCTATGGAACCCCAATGACCCTAGAATAGATGACATAACCGTCAGAGCTGTAGAATCGCAATTGCCCTTCCTAAAATCAAACCCAGTTAGGCAACGTCTTCCAGTGACCTGCAGAAGACTTACCACGCCCCAGGGGAGCACCAGGAGCCCAATAAGGCCCGCACATCTCGGGACTTCTTGACCAAACCAGCAGTGGACAACCCGAGGAGCCAGTCGGAACAAGCAAAACAAAATAAATAAACTTTCCTGTAGTTATCTATCAGTATCAATGTGGGGAGACGAAGAGAAACGCCTGACACAATGGTCCAAGTGCCGTCCAGTTGTCCAGGAGTCACCACACAGTAGGTGGCATCAAAAGCCGCCCCCAGGAGGCCACTTCCATATTAACTGACCTTGTATATTTTTTTGTAAAAACCGCTAAAAAATATCCCTACCATCTAGTGTCTTTTAGTATATATATATATAAATTAAAAAGAAAATTAGTTTAATTTGTGGCTTTTATACTAGTGCAAAAATCTTACTAAAATAATTATTTAATTTTAAGATGTAAGAAAAGTGGATGATAGTCCCTTATTCTGTATATATTTTAATGTTTTATGGTTGAAGATAATGGTGAAAGGGCGATGGTGGCGGGCGAGCTCAAGAACGGCTCCTCTGTTGTGATGGGGTTTGTTGACTTGTATTATGTTGACGTGGAGAGCAGCAGCGTCTTGTGGGGCTTGATGAAGTGGGTAGTGGGGCTCGCCGCCTCTAGCACACCTAGTTCCTCCCGTGTGCCGCCCATACTAGTGGTGTATGTGGCCTGCCTGGGGCTCATAGCTGCACAGTTGAGATCACAAGTGTATTAGCTGAGTGGCACACGGTTGAAGCAGGTTGCTCCACTCGCCGGACTAGACGGTTCGCACATACTCTTTTTTTTTTTTCAGGCCCGACCTATCGTAATTTAACACGTTTAACCCTAACTGAATTAATCCTATCTTATCCTATTCAAGCCTAACTCGACTCAACCCAGCCCATCCTGTCCCTCCCTAACCCAACTCACCCAATCTAAACCCATACAATCTAAATGAACCAATTCAATCCAAACCTAACATTATTAATATGTGAAACAAAGTATTCGGACTGATTATATAAAATGGTTACTAGATTGGAAATAAGCAATTCTTTTAAAATGAGAATTCATGTACCTATCGTGGAGTGCACGTAGTCATTGGTAGTCACAAGCTCACTGTTTACGAGGGTAAGCAATACCTAGAGTTAATGTGTGTATTACATCATATTGCCGGAAAAAAAGGTGGATGTCTTTAAAAGGCACTTAGACAAGTTCTAGCAAAAAGTGCTGGACTAAACCAGGCTGTAGTGAATATGTCGGCCTGTGAGCCACTGATCAACAGCCTGTTGGACTAAGTTGTCACAAATCGAGCTTGGCCCAAGGCTGGGCTCGGAGAGTAGAACTACTCCCGAAACCTTCTCCAGGTATGCCCCAGATATCCAGGTCTTGAAATGTGACTACAATATCCAGTTGGATGGATGCGAAGATGATGGGGTCTCATGACTGCTGCTTTGAAGGACTTCTTTTACTGCTTTTACAAAGACCAATACAACAAATAGATATTTGTTAGTAAAAAAACATTCTGTATCTGTATAAGGAAGATGTCAAACCAGCAGCTTGGTGGGGAAACTGAGCCAGTCATGGCTGCCAAACCAAACCTGCTAGAGGAAAATTTCCACTGTGGGACACTCAAACACCTTTTCACTATATTCTGTGAATGAAATAACCAGTGCAAAGTGGTGAACATAAATACTGTACACTAAAAATTTATTTCCATAGAATCAAAAACTGTCACAGAAGTCCCAGAGCACAATACCTCTTTAAGTTGGTTATACCAGAACTAAAATAGTACACCTAAGACTAAATGCTTCATCCACTGCTGTGTTATTTATGTGCAGAAAATAATGTTTTCTGTTGAGAGAAAATGCCATGTGGCGGGTCATCTGTCTGTTCTCCACTAAACCTATGCAAACAATTTAACTTCACTGGACTGAACTTGTCTTTTTTAATGACACAATAAAAATCAATCACTCTAGTCTTTCCCCTTCCCCCTCAAAAAAATGTATTGCATCCAGTGTTTAAAATGCATTACTGTACAGTGAAAAAGTTTGTTAAAAAATTGAAAGTAAGCTACATGATCATATTGAAGTTTATACATAATAGGTCCTGGTTCTTCCAACTATGAAAATACAAAGACATTCTGAGTTAATCAAATTTTCACTAGCACTTTAGCCTAAAAGTGAGTCACATACCAAGATTTCTATGTTCCAAGGGGTTAGCCATTGTTCCTTCACTATGTCCTCATATCCCAGCTCCTTATATTCATATCTCTTACAAGTTCTGTATAGTCATACTGGCATAGTGCTCTATCTTGATTATTACCGGTTACATACAAGACAAGAAAACATTAAAAAGTTCAGTATATATTTTATGCAACAAGTTTATGGCTGATAAAAAATGAAGAATATAGCATGCAAAAAAGGTATTCAGCTTTTTCAAAATTGAGGAGGTAATCAAACTACTTATTACCTGCAGTTATTATATTGATCATTTGATCCTAGCTTAACGAATATTTGTAGTATTATTCGTCTCTTCCTACAGGTAACAACACAGTGTGTTGAGAGCTTTCACAATGTTCTCACTCTTTTATGGACTGTACAAATATTTGTTCAAGAAAGATGAGTTTTTTGTCCTTATTCTTGGGCTGGATAATGCAGGCAAAACTGTGAGTATTTATTAGGGTCAATAATATTAATGTTGAATAGAGCATATATAACCTAGAAAACTTTTTATATGATATCATATTGTCTTGCAAATTAGAAAGCGCTTACAGCTGGTGAATTTTCTATTCATTAAAAAAAATTTCAACTCACTTATGTCATATAGCCTTTTTGGATTTAATTTTGGGTCATCTTTTTACAGCCATATTCACATAATTTCAGACATACCTAGAGGCAGCTAAAACTAAATTCACAAGAGGATACAAAGGCTTAAATCCAAGTAAAATAACCACTACAGTTGGGCAGAATGTTGGAGGAATACTTTATGCAGGAATTAAGCTGAGTTTCTGGGATCTTGGAGGTCAGGAGGAGTTGCAGCCTTTATGGGAGAAGGTAATATTTTCTTTCTTTCAATTTCTTTCTTTACTATGCTCCCATACCCATCCCATGGGTGGTGGTGGAAAGGGTTACAAAGGCACATAATCGGTTCAGGAACTGAACCCCATGGTTCATTTAGTTAAGCAAGTGACAGAAGGTAAGAGAGAGAGAACAATGTTTGTTTTCTATCAAACTTGAATTTTGTTTTTGTTCTTCGTGATGATGAGCTAAGTTACAGTATACAGTATTTACTTTTGAAGTAGAAATATTATTGACACTGACTTTTTATATTATTTTCTTTTTTTTCAAGATGCTATTTCAAAAATATGATTACTTCCACAGGATAGAAGTTTTTAGTATATTAAAAATATATACACGTACATGATGAAGTTACAGAAAGCAGCATATACTTGTAATACGAACTCACAAACATACAAACAAATAACTCAAATATTTATATAATTGCTTCAGGGTTTATAATTGGTAAATTGTCACCTTATTTGTGCTAGATAATTCAAGCCAAGGTGTTTTAACTTTGTTCACAATGGAGCTGTTCTACATGCTCTCTGCTACTCTTTGCACAAATGACAGATTATATTTTTTTCAGTATTTTGCCGAGTGTCATGCTATAATCTACATGGTAGACTCTGCAGACAGAGAGAGAATGGATGAATCAAAAGAAGCATTTGGTAAGTTGTTAATCACTCATGGTCATTGTATTGTACATTAGTACAATAATACTACTGTACTGCACTGTACTTATCCATGTTTACACCAGTGTCCTACACTTTCGAGAAAGAAAAGATAACAGGTCTGAAATTATGTTTCAGGAAATATAGGAATCTTGTTAATTCACAGATTTTACAGGAATATCAAAACAAATAAAATCAGAATGTTTAAGAGCCCTCATAGAATGTTTTCACAGTATAGGCAATTATAAACAAATGCATCATTGACTTACATTAGAGAAAAATTCTGTACTGTATATAATTACCAAAGTGTAGTTACAGGATGAGAGCTACGCTCGTGGTGTCATGCTATAATCTACATGAGCTGCTCACTCAAGGGATGAGTTAAAAACCAGTGGGCATACTCTCCCTGATTGATTCCCTTGTATTTTGGCATGGGCTTCTGTGATTCACACTGTATTTGTTCTCTGTGTTAGAGCACCAAGATCATAAGGTGACCGTGGCTCCCCTCACTGGTCTTTCCTCTGTAGTGTGGAAAGGCCTCATGGAATTAGAGTTGTTGACTTTTTACTTTCTCTCTTTTTACTTTTACTTATCAAGGTATTTAATCCACAGCAATGATCATTTCACCATGGGAGTGCCTCATTCTCTTCAAGAAGTTGGTTGATTTGTTGCACCTATGCTTTCTGGTGGGGTTTTCCTAGTTTTGTAGTTAATGCCTGATCCCTCTCACCCCATGGAGCCAGATTATGCTCCTGACTCTCGATAGCTGATGTATGGGTCCTAGAGGCTTGGTGTTTGGACTAAAGCTTGGTGTTTTACTGGGGTCCCACCAGAAAAGGGCATTAATTGCATTTAATACTTGATTATTTAACAAAATATAATTTTGAATATTTGTATAGAAATTTATTATTTGCTAGCCTTTACACCTGTTTTATATCTCGGGCATCAGCTGTAATGATTATACTGTACTGTATGCTGTACAACAGAGTAAAGAAGCCATTTGCCTATAGCTAATATGCTAAATTAGAAGGAGCTCATCAATGTATAAGTTCCTATATAAGATCCAAGTTTATTAGGACCAAGACTTTATATTTTGCTTTGCCTAATACATTTTACAGAAAACAAAGAATTGTGCTATGGAAATTTCTCTCTTGTGTGTTTCTCTCTGAAATTTCAGATATCAACAAATTCATTATGTTCATGCTTATTCACTTATATTTACATTACATTCTTTGTTTCTTCAGACAGAATGATTTCTAGTGAGAACCTAACAGGAGTGCCATTACTTGTTCTTGCTAACAAGCAAGACATTCCTGAGTGCATGGGAGTGCGTGAAGTGAAACCTATTTTCAACCAGTCAGCCGATCTCATAGGCCGAAGAGACTGCATGGTGATGCCAGTCTCTGCTCTAACTGGGTAAGCTGAAAATGCCGTGATTCATGCCATTGAGGATAGAGTACAGTTTTAAAATAAAATATTTTAGAAGATGAAGAATTCTTGCATTTCCATTTTGCACTGAATTCTTAGAGGAGCATTCAAGGAATAGAGGGTGATCGACGAAGTAAGTGAACATGCTCAAAGGTTAAGCATGGAGTAGATGCCTGAATCACGATTCATCAAGCAATTACACATCCAAAACCATGGATGGTTGTCCCTAGGCCAGACTGTGATGAAACTATCCAAACTGTCAACAAATAATCATAAAGTATATATGGCATTTACTGACATAATTGGCTAAGCACCATAAACAAAAAACAAACAAAAAAGTCAGAGTTTTGCTACTTTCAAAATGCTATATCTCGGTAACCAGGTGAATTTAATTTACCATTGTAGCTTAAAGTATGTAATTTCTTATTAACATAGTAAAATTTATGAAAAGTCAAATGCATTTTGAAAGAGAAAATGATGACTGTTTTTCTCTAATTACAATCACATAGCCACTCACTCATTACTGTATTAGTATCTTTGATGATATTAAAGATATAATAATAATTTTCATGTATTACTAAGTTAACAGTAATAAGATGGTATTAAGAGGAAAATATTAGTGGGCATCCATCAGTCATAGGAGACTATGGAGTTGCGCTCTGGTTGTCGATCTGGAGTGGCCTCTCCAGGGTGCAAAGCCAGGGTAGGTTGATATGGAGGAGAAGCTGTCACCCAAGCAGCAGGTTCCCTCTTCCCCCTCTCTACGATGCCGAAAGTCTTCAATGGAAAGGCAAATGCCAGTTCCAGTGCCGTCGCAGGACTGTCAGAATGAGGTTGAAGACATCAACAAACTGCCCTAGGGGCTCCAGTTCTGGAGTTAACCTCGAAGTTGGTAAAAGAAGGCACAGGGAATCCAAACCCAGAGACCGCCATGGCCGGGGCCGGAGAAGAACCACCCCAGCAAGGGTAAGAAAATAACAAGATATTGAAACACAAGAGGAGGATCAGAGAGAGGTTGACAACAATCTGCTGAATTACAACGTATGACTATTTTCTATGTGCAAGTATTAATATTTTCCCTCCAGCATCTTTAAGCAGAGCTTTGGCTGCACGAGCCCCAGGAGGTCGACTTCCGAGCCCCGCACTTACAGGTTCCAGACGGCTTCACCCGAGGCCGGCTTCCTTCAAGACCAAGCAGAAGGAAGAGTAATGATTATTATTTACAACAATTATTATTATAATTATTATTACAATAATAATGTAACAAATAAATAATTATTAGTCTTCCTTCTGCTTGGTCTTGAAGGAAGTCGGCCTTCGGTGAAAGAGGGCTGTGACAATCTCTGTCTGGAACCCGTAGGTGAGGGGCTCAGAAGTCCACCTCCTTGGGCTCGTGCAGCCCAAGCTCTGCTTCAGGAGGCTGGAGGGAAAATATTAATACTTGCATATAGAAGATAGTCATACGTTGTAATTCAGCAGATTGTTGTCAACCTCTCTCTGATCCTCCTCTTGTGTTTCAATATCTGTTGTTTTATAGCGGAGAAGGAAAAGCTACTGGAAGTATTGTATGTGTTAGGTTGGTATGTATGACAGGAGGGCATTTATGTCTTTGAGCTTGCCTGTTTATTCTTCTGGAGGATGGGATAATAGGCAGAAGAGGCACTTGATAAAGAGTGTTTGCAGTCTTGGTCGGGTATTATGACCCAACAAAAGTTGAAGGAATACATTGGTACACTTAACTTGAACTTGACTGTGCATTCTTATCAGTGACTTTGGGGGAAGTGAGATCTAGCTCTTTGTGACCTGCTTACTAGCCTTGTTATACTCCTTGTTGCATTATAGCTTAACTAGTCTAACATTTATAATATACAGTACTGTGTATACAATAAACATTAGTGATGGTCATAATAATGTAAAATTGTTATTCATTAGAGCACTAGGTGGGATTTGAACATACACATGCAGGGTTGCTACATATGATGCTTTAACCCAGTAGTTCCCAACCTATTTGAACTTGTAGCCCTATTTTCTAATATTCAAAAGACCTGTGACACTTTCATAATTTAATTAATTTTTGTCAAAGAATGAATTTAGAAAGTCACATCATTAAGAAGAACACTGATGCCAGCAGTTTTTTCGAGCATTGTATGAGGGTCGCGACCCGCTGGTTGGGAACCAGTGCTCTAGTCCATGGAGAGATTTTCAGTCACCAATTACCTTAGTGACTTCTTAGTGTAAGTTGGGCTATGTGATGTAGCATCCAATCTCCCTCACCATTTTGTAACCACTTTGCAATCTTGTAGGATACAGATATCAAACCATACATCTGAAGAGAAAGGAAAGTGACAAAGTTTCTGCCTATCCTGGACCCTAATCAAGTCACATTCAGCCACGTTATTGTGACTTATTCTCTAGTCGAGTATATAAATACTGTATAGTATAGGTATTTAATAATTACTGTATTATACATATATTAACAATTTTAAATTCTCTTATTTCCCTGCACAAAAATCTCTAATTTTCCAGAGCAGGAGTAGATGAAGGCATTGACTGGCTAGTGGAATGCATCAAGAGGAACAGTGATGTTAGGCCTTCACTCAACCACGATGACACCTGATTTACTTTGGAGAATGTAGGTTTCCAAGGTTATATTTTAAGAATACTGTACTCTGTAATATGGGCTGGTAAAGGGTTTTTATAATGGGGACCTTGTAGGAGGGGAATTTTGTGCACCATTAAGTGTTGGGAGAAATTTGCAACTTAACTGGAAATATAATTTAACAATCAGCATTAGTCTGAGCAATTAAGTTTGAGTTATAGTTTTACTGCAGTGTATTGGTAATTTAATTTTAAAATACTGCACTTGATTAATTTGTTACAATTAGAGTAAAGTCGCCAATATCCTGCTGTTTGCTTGTATCTAGCCACTGAAGCTTATTAAACAATTTAGAGCAACTCGTACTATAAATACATCAAACCCAGAAAATTGTCAGGAACTCTTTGAATATATGTACAGTACTCCAATAACATATTGAAACTTATACAATAACTAAAGAGAAACAGTTGGAAAAATATTAGAACATTATTGCATTGACAGACACAGTAGGGTCATCATTATTATATAATTCTACATCCCAATGTAGGACTGAGAACAGGAGATGCTTTTTCACCCCATAGGGTTATAAACTCGTGGAACTACTGTACCTACCTGTCAAAACCATAAATACCAAGACTGTTGAATTTCAAAATCCAACTGGAAAAGATTATCAAGGCAAATGGGAGGACCTTCGACAAGCCACTGGCTTCCTGTCCTCGTCCTGCTAGTGACCCCTCAGGTAAATTCAGGTAAATAAGTAAATGTATTTTGCTATACTGTACATACTATCAGTGTTTTCATAGCAGTATTATAGTACAGTATTTAGATTGTTAAATCTGATTTGAACACCAATAACTTAAATTAGTTGGCCAGATATCGGTGACTTTACTATAATGAACTTAATTTTGTGATGGTTAACTTGCCAGTCAAGTTGATAGTGTAGCATGAGCCATTAGCAATATTTGAAAACTGACTAATAATATATTTATCTACTAAGTACCATGTACAAATGAACACATTGCTGGTCATAATTTTGTATGAGAAAATAATATTCTTTATTTATCACCCCAAAAAAATGGTAGTTGCTGTAATGAATCTTATGTGTTCAGAAACATTTCTAATGTTTTAACTTCATTATCAGAAAAGTAATATGCACTTTGCACAGTGACAAAGGCTTAATTAAGGTTTTCTATGTCCTCCTCTCTTAAGAGGGATCTCTTGTATTCACACTCAGCTGTGCATGTGAGTAGGGTGTGCCAGCTGTGTTGTGTGATAATCCCTGCACCTGGGTGTAGGTGACTGTGTGTGTGTGTGTGTTTACTCAACTAGTTGTGCTTGCGGGGGGTTGAGCTTTGGCTCTTTGGTCCCGCCTTTCAACTGTCAATCAACTGGTGTACAGATTCTTGAGCCTACTGGGCTCTATCAAATCTACATATATGTATGTGTGTGTGTGACATGTTTGGTTTTAAAACTTTCATTATCTTTGTTGTTTAAATCTTGAACATTAGAGAGCTGAGTGTTAAATTCTTTACTCTTGGTTTTGTATGTTAGGTGTAATAATTTTAAGGTATTCATTGGACCATTAATGTTAATTACATTCTGTTATTATACTGTAGTTTTAATTATCAAATAATTTTCTTTTTAGTCACCTTTTCCTCTATATTGTAATGTACTGGAAATACATCAGTTTTGCATGGAATTAATAGCTGAACTGTCTGTCATTTTATCACATTGTGTATCACTTTGAGTAAGGAATTGTAAAAATTCAAGGGAAAATGTTTACAAAAAATTAGAACGTACTGTACAATAGTGTTCCTGAATACGTATAAGCATATAAGTTATCATTATAAATACTATACTGTAATTTTATAAAGAAATAGTTGTTACTAGAATTTTTATACAGAATTTGAATGCGATAAACAATACAGATTGATCAAGAAGCAAGTAACATTTTTAAATTACCTGGGTATGATTTGTTACACAGACAATGGATCATGCCTCCTCTCGTTTGAATATGAGTGATTTAGCATATATTGTCATGCTGGAGTACATCACGGAACCACAGTACAGTGGTTAAGCTCTGTGATTTTTAGGTAAGAGATGGATGTTCAGGCAACATTGGTGTGCTAGGCAAATCCTACTTTCTTGGAGTTTGCCATCCTACTAGACTGTGGGACCCAAGGCTGAAGATATGGGGTTTTAGCTTAACCTCGGTACCTTGTTCTTTTAGTGCAGTACAGTAGAGGATCTTTTGTAAGAGGAAAGTTTCATGTATCTGAGTTCTTAGTTTATTGGAAAAGTGCTAACAGACTTATGAACACTGCAGTATTTTTCATTTACCATCAATAATGGGATATAATTTGTCAGTGCAGTTCTCAGTGATTTATAATATGTGAGGGCAAGACATTTTGTAAGGAAAAATACTTATACAGTATGTCCTTTTGTTTATCTTGTGGGTTTTTCCTGGGATCACTGTCCCCACAGCCCAGTAAGGAGGAGTACCACTTTCTCAGATTGTGTACTGTGTTTAGGTATCCTTGAGAGAAATACCTTATAGTTTGTTAGAATCATTTTTATTTTTCAGAATTGATAGTGTCCGTGTGATGTCTGGAGAATGTCTACATATCGGCTTAAAACTTTTAAGACCTATGTAAAGTGGTGCAAGGGTTGGACCTATTGTTATTCGGCCATTTAGCCCCTTACTATAAAATGTCAAATATTTTATCACAGTCCTCAGGGGAAGGGGAAAAATTTGATGATACCTGTATGTTGAAAACAAATTAGCACAGCTACACCAAATTTTCCACACACACACATGCCCTCAGCCAAGGGATACTGTCTATAATCTCAATTGTAAACAATATCCTAGGAAGTTTTAAAAGGTAGTTATGTGTTTTATTTTGTATCACAATATATCAACATAACAATTTGATATTTAAATTTGGTAAGTTTGGCAAATATGAAATATTATGTAAATTTTAATCACAGTAAGCCTAATAATTATAACGATAGAACCTCATTATATTTCTTCATAATTGCAATAAGAAAATATACCGGTAATTATAATCATAGTTTCTTTGTAAGATAATATACTATACATGCAGTATAATAATACCTGTATTTCAGAACTTGCATACTAATTGCAGTGATTGTATTTTGTTAATAAGGCAATTAATTAGACTTTTGCAGGAGTGGCAGCAGCTCATACGTTGCTCAAAATCCAATTAACAAAATGGCTTAAACAGTTTTATGGGTTTCTTTTAGTGTTGTATAATTAACCATAGTTATTTTCAACCTTTTGACCAGATTGTCATTAATGTAAATAATTATATCTGTGAAGACATATTTTGAGACATGGCATTTCTAAACCCCTATTCATCCCCCTCCCCCCCAGCAATAACTTACTGTTATCTACTCTGCCGTCTTCCTTTTCCCTCCTTTACCTCTCGCCGACCCTTCTCCCACTCCACTGCAACCACAATTACCTCCACCATTTCCTCTGCCATCGCCACTTCCTCCGTCACCTCTATCTTCGCTACCTCTACTACAAATACCACTGTTACCACCACCCCATGCTCATCATATTCATTATGCTCATTACACTCCCTCAATTCATCGGATTGTATATGTATTCATCACAGCCCTCGGTAATCATTACATCCCGCCCTGTGCTCACTACGCCATATTCTTTGTATACTGAGATTTGCCAGCTCTGGGAATCCTGAAAATCACCCTCATGCAATCTGAGTTTTTTTTTTTTTTTTTTTTTTTTTTACTCTTTTTCTCTCTCACTCTCTCTCTCAAACCTTTGAATACTAAATACTGTATATGTAAATATGATTCCTGTAAGAGTGTATCATGTGGGAAATTTGCAGCTGTATTTAATCTTGTATCTACGGTTAAAATAAATATTCACGGTAATGATGAAAAATATAGGAAGTAGATAATTGCTAATTATACAATAGCCAATATATAATATTGATACGTATTATATAATACTGAAATCCTTCAAGGTTTTTTAAGATGTCCAAGCAAAGTCATTTTAAGTTGATATTAAAATTAAATGAAATGTACTGTACTGTACTTGGAAAGTTGAACATGTAGGTTTTGCCTGCATTCTGTTAGTTGTCGAGAAAGCATGTAACCAATGGACATGGGGAGTTGTTAACTCTTGTGGAATCATTACATGCAGTAAAGTGTAATTAACATTTATTTTTGGAATACTTTAACTCTTCAGTGCAAGACCTGGAAGTAAAGTGATAAGAAGACTTGTGTCTCATGAAGGACTGTATTGTGATCAGTCGAACCATAATAATTGATAAAAAAAATAAGACGTAGTCATATCAAAATTTCACGTGATGAAGATGTGCAGTTGACATGCTCAGTCGAACAAAGAACACTTTGTTCATGAGAAAAATAAATAATTTTGTGTAAAGTTAACCTTGATGCATTACCATTCTGAACAAGAGTGATCAGTGTACAGTATTTATCAACCCATGTAAGTAACAGAGAAGTGGATGACTTGAAGTTGTTGGACGTTGACTTTTCTTGCAGTCAGCTTCAAGGAGTAATGATGAGAGATTAGCTAGCTGTAAATATAGTAATTCTTTATATGATTAGCCTTTCAAAGGGAGCATGCAATAATTTTTTTTTAGCATCTTTATTTAGTCTCTGATCCATGACTGGACAACACCTGATGTCATTTATATTTTTGGATTAAAGTAAGGTACACATAAGCTATTGGATTGGCCATATTAATTAGTCAAACATAGGAACTAATTACACAATAACTTTCTACTTCATATTCAAACATAATAAACTCAAAGAATGTATACAGATTTCAAAACTATTGCATATAACTTGTCATATTTGAATGCCTTGAAGGTAGAAGTTCTTTTCAGATATAAACATAGTAAAAGCTTGGCCTCGGTTATAGATTTTCTGTATTAATATGCTCGGAAATGGTACTGTTCTTTCATGAACTTTTTGCATACAGATATGATCCACAGTTTCCTCTAAGGAAGGGTCGCAGCAATCATGGCCGTCAGACAAGTGACTATATACTTTTTTATATTTGAACTTTTTTCTTGTATTTCTTTATTTACACATTAAAATATAACTTCATGCAACTTCCTGAAACATTTGTCAAATTATTGCTAATACTGGTGGATATCTTCAATGACATGTAATAACTATTAATGTTAAAATCACTAGAGAACATTAGGGACATACATCAGGGTAAAAAAAAATCACTGGTTTCAGGCACACACACACGTGATCTTAAGCTGAGACAAAGATGGAGTCAGGAAATGAATGAAACGTGTCCATTTGCATAGCTGATGAATTGAAACATGAAGCATTGGTATATGGCAAGTTATACTTTAATACAGTACATTACTAGTAAATTGTTTAGTACAATTCTTTTGAAATATGGTGATTCACCAAGTTATCAACAATCTTCAGTCACCAAATGAACATACCTGTAATTAGTACTGCTATAACATACAGTATCACATATTCTTTATCCAACCATAAAATCTTCCTCATTACAGGATCAGTGTATCTGCTAATTTAACCCTTTTCATGTTTTTAACCATGTGCATCCTTATGGCTCTTACTAGCTCAGAAGAGTGGCAGATCTGAAACCATGGAGTTTCCCAAATAAAACATCAATATATTTCCCACTTTCATAGTAGGAAGGTGCTTGACCAGGGATGACGAGAAAGAATCATAAATTGATTCAAAACGACACTCTTCCATTCACTATATCTTTCACACTCAAGCTTCACCTCATGTTCAGTCTTCCTCCTGTTCATATGGTTTCTTGGGATTTGCAATGAAATTATTTGAGATAATCTTCATCAAGGGTATCACTAATTTTTAAGTAACTGGGAATTTTAGATAGAGCATAGGTGATGGCCAAGCCTGACTCTAACTTTATTGTGATCATGCTCCAGGTGTAACTAAATCAGCTTGCATTATCCTGTATCTGATGACCACTTTCCATTTACTGTAACTTTGTTCAGTGCTTTAGAAGACACCAGAACACAAGAGCATTGGGTTTCTTTCTAAGGGTGGGGGGGTTATTTTAATCTTTTAGGATGTAGATTGCACAGTTTAACCAGACTGTGGTCTGTTTTGATTTGCCTACCTCTCTGGTCGATGGCAATTATGACATACTATAAAAGTAAACTTCTCATAGGCCATTGCTCCCTGCACCTCTCTGAGGGGGCCAAGTTCTGGCTTGTGGTCCTCGGTAGGCATAAGTACTCCTGTGACTGATGACGCCAAACTAATATAGCACATATCAGTTCAGATAGCTTCAGGGAGCCTCCGGGTCTTGCCCAGAAAATGGAGTTTCATTACATTCAACGCTTTTTTTTTTTTTTTCCCCTTTAACTAAGGACAATTTGTGTCTATCCGGTATGGTTGAGTTAGACCCAGTTCTTTCTTTTAATTTTTATTTTTTATTAATAATATATTGGCACTGATCTGTTTTCAGAAGGATTCTTTAGAATTAAATTTGTACAAAGTTTGTCAACCCTTGAATATGTTAAGGTGTTGTATAATGTTCAAAATTAGTGCAATATTCATGTTCAGGTAACTACGTTCTTCCAACAAAATATACCATAACTTGTTACAGTTGTTGTGTATAATATGTGCCAAGAAGTTAATTGTAGCTGTCTGTACAAGGGAGAATCTGAATTTTGAAAATTATAAATTTTTCGGTGCTTCATAATGCATACGTGTTTTGTTATAATTATTCATCTGGATACCAAGTTGAATACTGTTAATAGTATATTGTTTAAGGCAGCAGCATTTAGTCTGCTGCATGTGAGCTATTGCAATTAATTCATGTCAAAGTGCTTCTGGTGGTTTCTGGATTGTTTTCATAAAATAATAACCAAATCACTGGTCTCATGGCCAAAATTTTTATGAATATAGGTTAAATAAATACAGTATTAGAAAGTGTCAAATGGCATACAGTATTCCTCAAGATGTTTTGCTTACCACGAGAAGCAAGGAGATGAGTACCTTCAGGTAGCTAGCATTTGACACTAAGCAGTGGCGGTTTTTAAATAGTTTACTTTCCTGATGAAAACGTGGCTGTTTGGTAGTGTTAATCACTTAGAGGTCTAGAAACATTTGCGTGTGTGTTAGCTGTCCCTATCTACATTGTTATAGTAGTTCAATTTTTTTTGTTTACCATCCACAGCTCCCATTTACTTAAAGCACCTAGTAAGAACTGGTGACTTTTGAAGTCTCGACTCTGTCCATGAGAGTTGTTGGAGCGCTTAGTCATGGTATTTTGTGGGGTTGATGTTGGAATTTTCCTTTATAGAAACACTTCTCTAGTTTTATCATCTAATATTTCTGACTGAGTTATGTATACTATATTTTTTGTCATTCATTTGCTCTTTAAAACAGAGCTGTAGAATTACAAAATAATCCCATTTGCAGCACTTGTTAAACTAGCAGGTTGTGCAACAGGTGCAAGTCTCCAAGGTGTGGTCTAAGAAATACTTGAATTCATTTTTATTTCCTAACTTGTAAAATATTGATAGAATTCCATTCACCTGGGCTCTAGGAGACTTGAACCGTGGACCCCACTCGTGTGAGGCTGAAGCTTTTATCGACTGAGCTATTGAGAAGTCTTAATGGGAAATAGCTTGAAAATAGAGCTTTGGCCTCACACGAGTGAGGTTTGAGTCTCCTCGAGCTCAGGTGAATAGAATCTTTTTAATGTTAATAGATGTGTATTTTCCAAATCTGTCAAAAATGTATTGAATGAATTAAAATTTTATTCCATTGTTTGATTTGGATGTTTGTGTGCAATTTTTGACAAATATACTGATGTGTATGCAATTATTTATAAAAATGTCCATGAATGCATTAAGTATTAGTAATAAAACTTTAAAACTACATTCTTACTACTGTGTTCTGCTTGTCTCAAGAAAGTTAGGTCATACAAAATTTAATTGTTACATTTTATAAATTCAAAGATCATCTGCCTAGATTACTTTAAGTGAAAGTTAAGTTAGCAAATGTACACACATCATCTCACAATTGAGAGGGTGGTTCAGACAAGGTAGACAGACCATCCTGGAGATTGTATGGAATATGTATTATCAAAGTACTACTGTACTATAGGATGAATGAATGAATACAATCTTACAGAAATATGAATAGCACATTAAGTTGGTTAAAGAAATGTGATATACATGTACAGTATATATATATCCTCAGTTTCTATTAACTGCAGGAATGTGAAAGAAGTGGCAAATTTAAAATGATTCAAAAGTCACATGGTGCAAATTGTTCATGTAGTTCAGCCCACTAAAATAATGCATAATTGCTGTCATATCTCAAAAATTATGGTCAACGTTATATCACAAATGTAACGAGCCAGTTTTATCTGTGACGATAATGGAGTCATGGAGTCGATTTTGTTTATATCATCAAACTATCGAGAATGTGAATCTAGTAAAACTTACTGAAAAGTTATAAAATTTGCCTTAACTGTTGGAAAAACAAATATTATAAGAGGCTAAGAAGTGTATGTGAGTGGAGATATATATATATATATATATATATATCTAACAAGAAAAGGTGCTATCTTTACAAGGTGAGGGAGAAGAAGCTCATGTGTGCTGTTTTCTCACGGTTGAGGATGGCTCCTAGTCTCCTCGCCTGCCTGCTGTGCAACTAAATGCACCTGCTGATGTGGGAACCCCATTTGGATCATTGGAGGGGCCGCTCGTCTGGATGGGTATGGGTGTCTGGGCTCGGCCATGAGAGTGGTGGAGGTCTCTCCATCGATGTAGGCAAAAATATCTTGCTATTGTTTGGATCAGCCTTTTCTATTAAACAGGAAGAGTGTCACTACGGACAAAGTACCCTATCTGCACTGTCTCGTTGACCTGGAAGGCAGTTTTCCCGGGGTCTAACCTTCTGATTTCCATTTCTTATTGATATTTCACTTTATTTCTCCCTCTCAGACATGTGGTAGTTAAACATGCCCAAAGTTTAACCACTTTGGAAGATCTGTTTGCCTGCTTTGGCACCCCCGTCCCCTGATCATCATTTTCACCCCCTTTCCTCTTATCCTTCCCACGGCTCCTTGACAGTGACTATTTATATGTCCAACATCACCTTAACACACATTATACAGTACAGTACTAAGTTTGATTTTATGACTGTTCATATATATCCAGCATAGGAAGCACAGTGAGGCAGTGGAATTCCTTTCAGAGGATAATGTATACATGAATGGATGATACACTACATTTCTTAAAAGATTAAAAGTGCCTAATGGAGGAAAATAACTGTGGACCACAGTGCACTGAACACTGAAGAACATACACCAATTCACCAATTATTTTCCCCTGTAAGATCCTAAGCTTTATCCATTTAGTACAATATGACCTAACACATTGACTTATTTATCTAATTCATTAAATACTGTAACTATTTTTGCTGACAAATAGCTCTGCTATCTTCTTTACATGCATGTTTCATGAGCTGCGAGAGTGCATAGCGATAAACTCCATTCCTTCTGTCAGTCCAAACTTACTTAGAGTTGCCAGCATGACAACAGTTCCCAACAGGAGGCCAAGAAAGAACATTCCTATTCCCATTCCAGCCATGTCACCTAGAATAGCAAATAATTGTTACAGAAGAGTGCACAGAAATGCTATAGGTGCATCATAAAAAAAGTAAAGGCTTTGAAAATCATGAAAGTTGTAAAATTCAGAACAAGATTAAGTTTATTAAAAAAATTAGAGGTTTTGCAAGTACTGTACTCGCCTAGTTGTGCTTGTGGGGGATTGAGCTTTGGCTCTTTGGTCCTGCCTCTCAACTGTCAATCTACTGGTGTGCAGATAACTGAGCCAACAGGAACTACATTGCTTGAGTAAGTGATGTAACTGCCATTGTTACATCAGCAAGCAATCATTGACAAGTTTTATTTTTGAGTAGCATACCTAGTGTATCAATCACAGGAGAAAAACTGCCATGGTCCTATAGACAGATATACAAGAAGCTAGTGACACCCTATAACACTTTGAAGTGTCAATGTCTTGTTCTCTTGACCACAGATCACTTGTAAAAGCTCTTCACTGTTGCAGATTTAACACCTCTTGTGCCTTATTTGCTTTTCAGAAATCTCAACACGGTGACAAAAGTCCCTGAACTAAGGTCAACTCTCGCACCAGGAATCATTGTAGGCCTCAGGACTAACAGCACACCAAATTAGACATGGCTGAGGCTGATATCAATAGCTTTAAAATACACTACTGAACAAATTGGAAGAGTAACCCAGGTCACTTCTTCAAAAGGTCTAATATAACTCATAAAAAGAATCAGCTTCATGCTCAACAAATCTTATCTGTCAAAGTTGTAAATGCCTAAATATTACTACTAAACTTCAGTTTAAAAATCAGCTTGAAAAAATCCTCAGGAATAATGGTAAGGTCCATGGTTCCTTACATAAAGGAACTTTGTTTCTACAAAGATTAATCTATATAACAATAAGAAGATAGTCGGGAGAAAACCCACCATTGCTAGAGCTTTATCGATGAAGTCACATGTGCCGCTACAGTCAAAGTTTTTACAGTACAGTATTTGGAATTTGTTCAGCATTATGCATCTCAAGATAACCTCAAGATAGAACACAGGCAGTTTGCTTGTGCAAATGTGCTACTACTTACTTTGAACACTTGAGAATGCAGATAAGTATGATATTGTATAATTTTTAGGTCATGTAACATTATGATACTGTAATGTGCATAATTCTGGATCAATCCTCAATTCTCAGCAGACTTACCTGGTGTGTACATCACTGCAGTCTTATTTATCTCTTTACCAATTAGATAGGCTCTTTGGTGAAGGTTGACACCATGGATCATTGGCTCAGCAGATGCTTTATGAGTTTGGTGGGCTTCACCGTCATCTTTGTCCAAGTGTACAGAATCCACCTGAAGTAAATTGCTGTGTGCCACGAGATTGCCACTATGCAGTAATTGTGACTTGAAAGGTGATGGGAACAACATTGAGGTGCAATTGTCTTCAAACAGTTCCCGAAGGCTGTCGTTGTAGGCCTCCATCATCTTTATGTGCTGAATGTAAAGATAAACAAATGAATTAGTATTTATTTTGGCAAGTCTATTACCATCCAAATTTTTAGAGATGAGTATCAGGCTAATCATTATCTGTGATCTTTAAAAGAAGTATCTGAAATGTTGAGAATTCCAATTAATAACTTCTTTTATAAGTTTCAGACTATTTAAATGCCAATCCTTATAGTACTGGCACACCATGAAGAAATCAAAATGAGTTAGTTGTGTTATAAAATAGTTCTTTCATGCTGGAAACAAATGAAAAAGCAAGCTACTGGATCATCAACTCTTGAGCTGATAATCCAGTAGCTAATCGCTACTGATGATCCGAAGCCAAGTAGGCAGAGCACCGAGACTAAATAAGGAAAAATGGAAAAGTGTGAGGTTTTATTCGAAGGTCTTTTGAGTTTCGAACAAAGTAATTCTTATTGAATAATTCATTAATACATCTGATGCTAGAATATTGCATACAATTTTGGTTGATGTCTTGAGAAAGGAAATTTCCAAATTAGATAGTGGTCTGTGTCAAGCAACATTAATTATAACCAGATATATAAATCATAAGAATCCTCTTTAAAAGAACTATATTTAAGTACTGTACTGTATTAAAATCATTAGAGGGTTTGATGATCTTGTTAAAGCCCATAAATTTGCCGACTCCAAAAATCTGCAATGTTAATACAAAAATAAATATTTAAATATTTTTTGAGGAAAGAAATTTATATACAGTACTGTATTTAAAAAATATCAAGTACCATATTTAAAAAAAATTATAGTTAAAATCGGCCAGGGTAGAATTACCCTGAGCCTTTAAGAGACTAAACTGAACAAAACTGAACTACATATACACAATTACCATTGATACAGTCGGATCTCGACGAAATTAAGGGTCTGAGTGTCTTCCTGCAGCAGGACAAAGATGTTTGGGAGACCTAATACCTTTGTTCACCTAGCAGTAAATGGGTAGCGAGATTTAAGCGACTATTGAAGGTTACATCCTGGTAAAGATCAGTACAGTAGTTGACCTAAGGGGGCCTGGGTATGTCTAGTTCACATACTTTCTGGCTCCGACACTGGAAAAAGCAATGACTACGACAAGCTTGAGAATGAAAAAATATGATTATTGTGTTTTAATTCAATTGAGTTGTGCTATAGTGTGAATTATACTTTAAAACTGGTATATACACACACACATATATACACACACATATATACACACACATATATATACACACACACACACACACTGGCAGATTCTGACAGTTGCTCATCTATCCTACCTTAAGGATAGGTACATTCCAACATTTTCCAAAAGGAAAGGTATAATTTGGATGACAGGTGTAATAGCAAAATTGATACCATGTACTGTATAAGTCCTGAATAACCACATCTAGCTTGAGGCTCAAAATTCCACTCTCATAATACATTAATAAAACTAATCTACTAGGAGACTGTCAGTATATTGAAACTGATTATACACGAGACCATGAAGGTAGATCTTACCCCTGGAGTGTTATAACTGGGGTCATACAGAATAATGATCAGACGCCCCATGGCAGCCTGGAGTTCAAGTACCACCTGGCCAAGAGGTGGACCTACGCTATCCGGAAAGTCCATGTTGGCCACTTGCGGCTGGTCCACCAGGGTGAACTCGCAGTACAGTCGCCCATCGTGTTCATTGAATTCCATCTGTAGGGAAGAAAGATATAGATACTTTCCAAATTCCATGATTAAATCACATGCAGTAAACAAATAGATTAGACAAGCAATAAGTATGAAAGGAAGGTAACCAGTTGAGTAGAACAAAGTGCTGATTACAATGTTGATACCAAATTGAAAAAGAGAACTGCATTGGAGTTGATGTTTCGATTGTAAGGGATTTGATAAAGCCCTTACTGGTGAATTCTATTTTCAATAAAATATTTTCCATAGATGCAACATCCATCACACCGAGATCCCCTTCAGTAAGGAGCTGTGTAGCCTAAGGGTACTATATTTTATCCTATAAATAGTCTAAGATGCACTCTTAAGTTTCTTCCCTCAAATATAGCACTGGTACTGGTACTTACGGGCTATTGATGCCCGTGCCACTTCTTGGGTGGCTTAATCTAAATCAATTTAGTTTTTTTTTTGTCTATCTAGTAATATCGTGGGCAGTAAAGAACGATATATTCTGTTTCCTTCTTGCCGTGGACACCACCAGCAGGCTGGAGAGTCATTCAGACTGAAGAGATGGGTCAGGATGCGTATATATGGTCTATGTGTTTCCGTGTAAGACAAACATCGGGTATTCGGATGTGGTGACGAAACCATTGGCTGGGAGATGCATCAGGACGGAGGTTTGCCATCCTTGATGTCTGAAGTAGAGGCCCTAACTCTGACTGCCAAAGAGTAAAACAGGCTTTCTTAAAGGGTAGCAGCCTTTCATGTGGGTTCAGACTTTAGAGGGTTTGTAGCAAGATTAGGATATGTGCTTTGGCCGACGTGTCATCTGCGACTTCGTTCCCTCTGATTCCTACGTGAGAAGTGGCCCACTGAAGGCGAAGATGCGGTCTTTGAGTCTACGAACACTACCACATCTTAGGGGATGAGTGACTGAGAATGTACAACTTAATCAAATTTTGTAATACTATATCCCATTATACTTTTTGTAAAAAAAAAACTATACAGACAGTAAGTCACAATAACGTGGCTTAAAATTAGACACCCAACCCACACGTCTGAAAATAAAGTTACACCTTTAATAGGTCATTATCAAGTGAACACCTTTATTTTCAGAGTCAAACATACCTTCTATACTTGCTGATACGCTGAAATAAATTAGAGACTTAAAACTCGAACTCTGAAATACTGGGTTACTAAAGATTAATAACTACTCCTGCAACCCAGTCGTATAGTCCCTACTCTGGACTCACCAGCACATGCTGTACACGTATTGGAGGGATGCCTATGGTGAATGACAGGCCATCTTGTACAGAGTCGGTGAATTCAACCGGATTACCATCATAGTCACCACGGAACTCTCCTGGAAAGGCTATCTGGAATCGTCTGATGTGGTCATGACCACTGAAGCATGGAGTGATATCATACACTGTCAGGCTGGGAGTCTCTTCGTCAAATCTAAAGTATAAAGGACAGATTAGTGCATGCCTCAATAGAACATTATACTGTACTTACAATACATATTGAGAAGTAATTGTACTTGCAAATTATGATACTCATTAAAATATCTGCAGAAGCTGGAAGGGAAAAGGCTGTCGGTAGAGTGACAGCCCTGTTTCTTACAGGGTCAGCGTTCGATTCCCGATAGTCCAATTGGGTGGCCAGTATTCCTTCATTCGGTCCTCATGTCCCAACTCCTATCCTATCATCGTAACCATCAATTCAATTTATTTTTTCTTTATTATACACCCCATACCCATCACCGTGGGCGGTGGTAGAAAGGGTTACAGAGGCACATAATCGGATCAGGAACTGAACCCAACAGTTCATTTAGCTAAGCAAGTGAGAATCTTGACTACTGCAAGTGACTACTCCTCTACTGATGCGCTCTCTTGTCCAGATGTCAGTAAGTGGTAGAAAGGTCACATTTACTCTATTTTGGTACTAATAAGTTAATTCAATTGAGGTCCTTTTATGATGTTTAAAGTCCAAAGACTGCTGTATTAAGAATAATTCCCAAACAGAATTAGCTGGTGAAATTAATAGTGCCATGTGACAATGGCATCTCGTTTTCTACGGGAGGAAAATTTCACTGCGCCACGTCCTCTATAAGTTAGTTTATTTATTGCAATCCAGCAGCAATATTATCTTCCTATTGTATTGAAAATTAGTAAATGGCGCCTGAATGGACAGCGCTTCGGATTCGTAGTCCTGAGGTTCCAGGTTCGATCCCCGAAGGAGGCAGAGACAAATGGGCAAAATGTTTCTTTCACCCTGATGCCCCTGTTACCTGGCAGCAAACAGGTACGTGACGGTTAGACAGCTGCTACGGGCTGCTTCCTGGGGGTGTAACACACACACACACACACACACACACACACACACACAAAAAAAAAAAAAAAAAAAAAAAAAAAAAAAAAAAAAAAAGGCCTGGTCGAGGACCGGGCCGCGGGGACGCTAAGCCCGAAATCATCTCAAGATAACCTCAAGATATGGTGTCGGGTTTTCCGACATTTGTCAGCTGGAAACTATGAAAATACATCAGCATTGCATTTAAACATGCCATCTCTCCCACCTTCCGGTTCTCTTACTTAAATATATTTTGTTCAATGTCCACGAAGACGGCGGCGCCAGGGTAGAGAGGATTAGTGATGTCCTGCTGGATCTTGATCAGCACCGGCTCAGGGTACTTGGGCTGTGTCTGAGCCCCGCTGTCTTCATGCCACCACGACTGGTGAGGGGGAAAATGGTGTTAGTTGGGAGGGGGGTGTTAATTGTTGTGAATGAGAGGGGTGTTAATGGTTGTGGGTTGGGATGGAATGGGTGTAAGTAGGATCTTTAATGCAAGTGGTATTCAGGGTGGTGAGGAGACATGATCACAATATATTACCTACAATATTCTGAGGTATATCTACACTGAAAGACAAACTGACATGTGAGGAGCCCGGACGAGGGACTACAGATGGAAACTTTACACCCAAATAATCAGCCAGCGGGGCATGGTAAACTATAGCAGAAAGGTGTCGAAGTGGAATGAACTTGGGATGGAAGTAGACTGTAAAGAAGAAATCAAGTGGGTTCAAAAGACACGGAGTTGGTAGTCCACTACACTGGTAGTTGGGGGGGAGACAGGACTCTAACTACAACCCAGCCCCCTATAAGAGCACCAGGATCATCACACATGCACACTTGTGTACTCCTACTCTGGCACTGATACATTTATTAGAGCGTGGTGACCTGAGCTTCACCTGAAGGAAATAAACCTCATAGAGGTAGCTGTCCTGGATGGTGCCATTGTCGGTGTCGAGGTCAAGGTGGCCCACCCACACGTCACACGGCAGCTCGCGGGCGTATTTCTGTGGCACGACATAAGAAACCACGTCACGGCTTGTGTGATGGCGAGGGTAAATGAGTGAAAACGGAGTTGCATATGCAAATAAAATTGTCTATACAGTATACCTAGGTCATAAACGTATTTGTGTGTACGTCTGATACCATACTACTTGTGAAGGAGGAAATGTATACGTTTATCTCTCAGAATGTTTGGTAATATGTTTATTGTTTGTGATGTGTGTATATGTATGTATTAACACGATGTACTGAACGGGGTGAGAATAGCTTGAGCTACCTCATCCCTTTGTGTGTATTTTACATCAATAAACTTATTTCAATTTCAATTTGCAAATAAATCCCAGCAAATGAAATGGAGACGGAGACACTTTCTTTTGCACAAAAAATGAGTGCATTTTGTGACTGGTTGGAGAGTATGAATGAGTAAATGGATTTATGGATTGCTTAAAACGTGAAATTAGAATAACGAAGCTTAAAGATCTTCACATAATACTCTTCAAGATTCAGAGCAGGAGAGCGAGACCTGGCTTAGGTAACCAGGCAGGAGGACACCGGTGGTGGGCTCCTACCACTATAGGAGTGGTGTGTTAAGACAAGCTCTGTGTTTGAGAGCAACAATCACAGAGCGTGTCTATATCATACCACGGTTTGTGTTAAGTGTGGGCAAGTGGGGCATGCCAAACAGCTAGTTTGACCAAGTCCATCTGCCTGATATTAATTGAATTAGTGAGGTGCTTTTCATAAATTGAGGCTATCCACGACTATCCAGAACTATCCAGGACTTGAGGCTATCCCAGGACCAGTGGCAGTCTCTTATATTATCTCCATAATCCACTCACTCTAAACTAAGTGAACTATTAATGACATACGACAAAAATGCTGGAGAACTCTCATAAGTAACGGAAAGCCACCACCCGTGTTGGATTATAAGAGTGATCTTACTTAATAATGTACTATGACCCGAGTACGAACTGACCGTGCCGTAGTAGGTCAGGTTCGCCACCTTGCCCATCCCGAAGAGTGTGAGAGGGTCCTTGATAGTGACGCGACCTGAGGGGTCTGTGATGGTGTCGTATTCATCGTCAGGAATGGGAATGGTGGTGCAGTTCCCGAGAAACTTGTCTATGATGTATTCCACTCCGCTCAGGAAGTCCTGGAATTGGCATATCAGAGTTGAGATGCTGGAACGAAGATCTGGAATCAACAAATAGTGGCGACACAAGAATAAAATCCAGAAAATAGCCTAGTATATTATTTTCTGGAAGTAGAAAGTTAATTCCAGAAGTGATCTTTCTGGAATTAATTTAAACAGACTGGAATTAGACTAGAAAACACTTTGAAATTTAGTAAATCCACTGAATTTGGTCTAAGAAATGTATCGAATTAGCCTAGTAAAGATACAGTACAGAAATTGGAAAACTTCGCTCTAAAATTACGAAAATTTCAAAAAATAATAAAAGCTTGTTCGTCTTCAATGTGTTCATACCTGGGAATCGTATTGAAAGTCCTAAAACAAATGAAAGAGCCAAGAAGTGGAAAATACAGAGTGCAAGATTAATAATGAACACCCACACGTCATACCTTCGTTCATGTCATAGTAATTACCTTGATAGCTGCAATTTCAACGAGACCAGCGATGGCGTACTCTTCGGAGGACTCTGTAGGTATATAGTCAGCTCGGGTCAGTTGTCGAGTATATTCATACCAGTTCTGGAAAAGACAGATTAATAACAGCGAGATGCATTACCTATAAGCATGGCGGAGCAGCGATCATTGTATCAGGCTTTGAAAACAGAGAGGGTTTGACGGCGACATCGATGGTGCGAGATGCTAAATTAATAATTTGATGGAATAAATTTTAAGTTTGAGGATTACAGATGTGGTTTGAAGGCCACGAGGATGGTTTTAAAACTAAAGCGATGGTTTTCAGCCATGCCACCCGATGGTTCAGGATGGTTGTGAAGAACCTTCAAGGATGATAAGGAGCCTCGCGTTATCAAAGATGTTTTTTCAAATAGTCACTCAGCTTTGTTTCCTCTTGAGATACTCATCCAATGATCTTTAGCCTCGATCTCTACTCTTGTTCAAGTCGTTTTTCCATGTCGTGGTACTTGCGTGCTGTGCTTCCTCACACCCTCGATGGGATAAACCTATGCATTTCTTGTCCCGTAATCACGTAATACACGTAAATCTGTGTATCTTTGTATTTACGTATGTAGGTTAGCTTAGCATTTTAAAAGCACCGAATCACCTTCTGTGGTTGAGTGTTCAATAAACCCTTGAACTGTATGTTTAACACTTCTCTAACCCTGTCCATGGAGGACAGAAGAAAATGTATATATGTTGGTTAGCATTGTAAATGTGTGGCCACGTCTGTGGTAGAAAATAATAAAAAAAAAAAAAAAAAAAAAAAAAAAAAAAAAAAAATTCTTGTCCGCGGGAACAAATTTGTTAATTTGCACAAGAAGCTATTACGTCTTGTGGGGCGCCTCACCTTTGACTTCCTGGTATTTCTGTTGAAAATTATCAAATTGTCTCAATTATCCCTTCAGTGCCATCTATATATCTGCTGTGTTGCTACAGAGTTCGTCGTGGGATGGGCAAGTGACAGTAGTCCTTTGCATTACCAAAGCTATGACTGGTAGCAGAGAATATTTTGATGGTTAATTTGTAATTACAAATCTTAATTTGTAATTATAAATCATGAAATATCTAAAATAATGCACTATAGCATCCTAGCCTAGCCATAGTTAAATATCGCAGCCTTCAAATCGGGTTCGCTGTATCCTAGTTAGTTATTGCCATTTACTAGTCAGGTATCGCAATATACTGGTCAGTTATTGCCATTTACTAGTCAGGTATCGCAATATACTGGTCAGTTATTCATGTATCATAGTCAGGTATCATCATATACTTCTTAGGTATCGCCGTACCCGAGTCCGATATCGCAATATCTTTGTCAGGTATTGTCATATACTAGACTAGAAAAAAGGGTACCTTCCGTATCCCAATCAGATATCGTAACATCCTAGTCAGTAATTCCTATTCACCAACCTATCTCTATGCTATAAGTAATGTTTACTTCCCCGTCGCCGAAACTGTAAATTATTTTCCAAACTTTCTCGGCCTTACCTTGACAGTACTGACAAATTCCTGCTCAGGCGACAAGGAGGTCTGTGCCGTGACCTCAACCCTCATGGAGTAGGCGTCGGCGAGGCGTGTGGGCGGCTCCCTCGTGTCTGGCAGGCCGGCACAGTACACGTCGCTTGGGATCTCAAATACCCACCGGAGGTCCTCCCAAGCAGGGTTGTCGTCAAAGAGAGCGAAGTTGTAGCTGGCGAGGATGGGAAAGGGGCGGGGATCGCCATCAAGGTACATCTCACCGCTCAGTTTCATGGTGACGGGTCGCTCACTGGTGAACCCGAACATATCCAGCACTTGGTTGGGGTCTGGAGGTGGGTAGGGTAGACGGGTTGGTTGTGGGTGTGGAGAGGAAGGTTAGTATTCACATATTACACCATCTCATGAGCAGATGAAGTCACAATAACGTAGCTAACAAAATTTAACCAAATTACACACTAGAAATGAAAGAGACGACGACGTTTCGGTCCGTCGTGGACCATTATCAAGTCGAGTGTTAATCAACAACTCAAAGAGGTCACTCCGTGAGCGAGGAGTCACTCAGTGCGACTTACCCGACCAGTGGTACTCGACGTAGAAGGTGTCGTTGTCGCGGGCGTAGATGCAGGCGTCCCAGCGGTTGCAAGGGATCTCTCTCTCCGTCGTGTTATCCACCCACGAATACCTGAACAACACAGTTGGGGATTAGACTGTGATAGCAAATCGAAATGGCCAGTGACTAGTTGTGAACAATAAAACAAGTTAATTCTAGTTGTATATATACAAAAGTGTGCATAATGTAACTTACACTTGAACAGAATAATATGAAATATTGGAAAACTGTTGAAAGTCAATTGGCAATATCGGACCTCAGGAGCGGCCTTCACAGCTACCACAGCTATCACCAGGCGATTATAGAACAAGGATTGATTTGTTTTGATTGTTGCCGCCGAAGGCGGCTTGTTTATTGTGCACCCCATACTCATCCTGTGAGCGGTAGCGCAAAAGCATTACAGAGGGCACAAAAGGTCTTTATCAGACCTCATCTTAGATTATTACATGAGGTCTGATAAAGACCTTTTGTGCCCTCTGGACAAGGAAGGAAGGGTAGTCCTGGCTGAGTCTCGTATTTGCCAGTTATCTTTGAATTCAAATTATTAAGACGTGTTTCAGTTATCAGGTAGTAATGCATATTTGTAGTGAATCATTTTTTATTAACGAAAGTCCCTAGACCCATGGTTAATTCTGTGGCAGGGTGGAGGTAATAGAGGACTTAGTAATATGCGCCATCATATTAATGGACAAGTACATTCATCTGCGCCTTTCTTAGCCGTTTAATTTAATGAATTGTATTTTCTTGCATTTGTTAATATGACACCTGTTGAAACGTCTCTATATTAGAAGTTGAGGAAAAACTGAAAGACAATCTATTTTAGGTGTAGTTTAAAATGTTGTTCAGCCCATGATGGGGTGGAGGACAAAATAGTGTAACTGGAGTGATAAGAAACCCCCAGGCAACAACCGGCCGTAACAATGCACAACATGTGTGGTCCACAACAGGTAGGGGTGTAGTACACAACTATACAATAAATAAGGTGTAGTACACGACAGGTAGGATGTAGTACACAACTACACACAACAAATAAGGTGTAGTACAAGACAGGTAGGATGTAGTCCACAACTACACAAAAAGTAAGGTGTAGTACACGACAGGTAGGGAGTGGGTACGTACTTGTAGTCCCCACCAAAGAGGAGAGCCTGAGAGGGAGCGACAGCCACAAGCGGCCCTGTACTGGAGGAGTTACCAACGACCAGCCATGGACTCTTGTCCGCGATCTCCGCTGTCACACACTCCGTCCGTAGCCTTCCAGTTTCTACATCTGGAAAAAGCACTGTATAAGTGTTATAGCCCTTGTGCATATGGGGGCGCCTGACAGCTGGATAGACAGCGCTTCGAATCCTGAGGTTCCGGGATCGATCCCCAGTGGAGGCAGAGACAAATGGGCAAAATTTATCTTTCACCCTGATGCCCCTGTTAACTAGCAGTAAACAGGTACCTGGGAGTTAGATAGCTGCTACGGGCTGCTTCCTGGGGGTATGTAACAAAATGGAGGCCTGGTCGAGGACCGGGCCGCGGGGACGCTAAGCCCAGAAATCATCTCAAGATGGGTAAGGTTCATATGCCTTACAGTCGTAATTAATTAGTAAAAACGCCCTTGCCAATATCATTTGTCTAGGGATAAAATAAACGACTGCTTCATGAAGGGGTAACACAGAAACAACAAAACATGAACCTCAAATACTAGGCATCTCCAGAAATATTCAAAGACAATAATAACACCTAATTAAGTACTAATCATATGATTAATCTATACATGAATAGTTGAGTATGCAAATAATGGTCTAACCAGATAATTAGTTATGTTAACTGAACTAAAACAGGCACTATTGACTTATCTCACGATTACAGGTCCGACCTAGTCGGCTCCACCCACGCTACTGGCTTGCTAAACGCCTTCCTAGGTGGCGGCTACACATTACCAATATATTACACCCAAGAATACTCTCCGATACTCTGCTAGCCAAGAGTAATACTTACAAACATAAGTATTAACAGAAGAATATATATTTATCACTAATAAGGTGTTATTTAAAACATGTACATACAATAACAAAGAATAATTACAGGGGTTTAATCATGACGCTAAGTTGGGTACACTGTCGCCCATCAGTAGTGGTTCACACAAATCAAAATCCACATGAATGAATCACATGAATCCTCATCAGAATCAAAGAAATATACCATACAGGCACACGCCAGCATGCTACAGTTAATAAAACAAAATACTCAGGAAAACAATAGGACGTAATGTCAATCTCCAAATAACTGATGAATGAGATAAGTAGCATTAATGCTTTATCATGATAAATATCAGAATCAAGTATTATTGATTCGTAACAATAAGAACTTAAAGACAGAAAAACATCTTGGACTAGAAAGTCTGATCGCAACATCATGTGTTATAGCTTTCGGAATAGAAATGTCCTAGACTGAAACTTCGACGTTCAATACGAGCTCATTAAAACCCTATTATTTCCGTGGAGCTGTTCTCAAGAAAAAAAAGTGGGAATTACTAAAGGAGTGTTTCCATCAGAATAGCTGGAACTCGAGGGGTGAATTTTATCCGATAAAGCGAATGATTAGAGGCCTTGGAGACGAAATGTCCTCAGCCTATTTTCAAACTTTAAAAAATGGGTGAGATGCCTAGTTTGCTCGAACGCTGAAGCTTCGGCGATAAATCCCTTTATAGTAAACAGAACTGGCGCTGTGGGATGATGGAATGAGTGTGTGTGTGTGTAGAGGTGTAATTGATTTGATCAACAGGATTGTTGATTTGTGGAATCAATTACCGCATAACGTGGTGGAGGTGGGCTCCCTCGATTGTTTCAAGCGTGGGTTGGACATGTATATTAGTGGGATTGGGTGGTTATAAATAGGAGCTGCCTCGTATGGGCCAATAGGCCTTCTACAGTTACCTTTGTTCTTATGTAATATAGTCCCAATGTTATAGAAAACGGGTACGGCGCTTACCCTTAAAGGTGGTGATGATGACGGCAGTGTTGATGGGGTAATAGAAAATGGAGCGAGTGTAGCTGTCAGAGGAGGTGTCAACGAGCGCCATCACTTGCTGCTGGTACATGAAGAACTCCTCCATATAACGTGTCCGGTTGTAGAGATGGTCCACAACCTCCACGTGGGCGACGTAGCTGGCTGGCGGCGACGGGGGGATGGGTCCTGAGGGGAATAAGAGAGGAAGGAGAGTAATGCAGGTTAGCTGTAAGAGTTTTTTTTATTATTATTATTTTCTACCACAGACGTGGCCACACATTTACAATGCTAATCAGCATATATATACATTTTCTTCCGTCCTCCATGGACAGGGTGAGAAATCTGTTAAACATATAGTTCAGTGATTTATTGAACAATCACACAAGGTGATTGTAGTGCTTATAAAATGCTAATCTAACCTACATACAGAAATATACAGATTTACGTCTGTCCTACATAAACAGTGTTCGATGTGTCTTTTTTTACATAATGTCATTAATGTACGTTTACAAAGGTGAAATACAATTCTGACCAGCTTCCACATATCCTATACACACACATACATACATACATACATACATACATACATACATACATACATACATACATACATACACATACACACACATTTGTCTCTCCTACTTTGACAGGGTAAGGTAGCTGTTAAATAAACTAGTGTGTTATCAAGCACTTAACCACTGAAGGTGATTAGGGTGCTTTTACAAGCTCAGGTTATAGTTACATCACCTTGTATAACTGATGCATTACATAGTCAATCTTGGGTACAAGTCTCAATATATCATCAAGTGTTCCAGTATTCATATAGTATTTACAGAGTTCCGCATACCTCTGCCCAGGAATGTTAAATTCAGTCAATATGGGACATTCTATAATATAATGCCCAAAACGTTATGCGTACTAGTGGCTTTACAAGAATGTAAACGCGCCATGCTATGTACTCTCATAAACCCAGTGTACCCTCCTGTATATATATAAATAAATAAATAAATAATGTTCTAGGGAATGCGTGTTTTCTCTTTCACAAAGTTGACATATGGTGTATTCGACATTTGGGTTTTGAGAGAGAGAGCTGCCAGATACGTCTATATCCCAGGCGTATTCTGGCCACTATAACATCACATTGCCGAGTTTTTGCTCTATTAGTTCAATATATAAATATTTCCTCGTGATATTTATCATAATGTTTAATGATACAACTTTCAGGTTTTTGTGAATTTGTTAGGTCAGTAAGATTTTCATTAAATATTTGTTTAAGTATTCTCTTTGTCACTGCTAATGAAACACCCATATCAATTTATACTACTGGTCTACAACAGGCTATCTTTGCAAGCATGTCAACAGTCTCATGCTTTGAGATGCCAACATGTGATAGTTTCCAAAGGAATTTAATTTCAAATCTGATTTCTTAAGCAGTTAAAACATTCATTCGAATATCATTGACTATTTTCTGGGTGTTACTATTATGTGCGTTCAATGCCAGGAGTGCACTCTGCGAGTCTTAGTATATAAGTCAAAATGTCTTTGTCTTTTAAAAATTCAGTGGCAAGTTATATGTGGATGGTGTGTACTGGTCTAATTGTGCTTGTTGGGATTAAGCTTCAGCTGTTTGGTTCCGTCTATCGTATCATCAGTTGACTGCTACCCAGATTCCGAGCCTTATTGGGCTTTTCATATCTATATTTAATCTTTGCTATATAAGATAATGATTATTCAGGTAAAAGTACATACATTCAAAATGAGTTACAAACATAACGTTGGATTTCTAGGTAGGGCTAGTACATACTATGCTTAAAGCCACTAATACCCACAGCACTACGGGCATATTCTACATTTGCAGATATGTATCTGCTATTTCACTTTCTGATTGTCTCCGCTTTTCGTCTCACTATAATGTACTCATTTTCGTCCCTCTGGCACTCTGTTGTTTCTCCATACCTCTATGTTTTATCACTTTTCTCTTTTTACGCCCTTAGTTAAACCATGAGTTAAGCTTGGTCCTTTTATTTGATTAGTAAGGTAAAGTATTGTAGAGTCTTACCAGTCACAGGTTGAGTGTCCGCACTCATAGCCTCGCCCTTGTCAAGCAGGACATTGCTAAGTTCCTGCTCTCTTCAGTGGTATACCAGAATCCCCCGTCCTATCCCAAATCCTTATCCTGACCCCTTCCAAGTACTATATACTCGTAATGGCTTGGCGCTTTCTCCTGATAGTTTCCTCCCTTCCTCTAGTAAGAGAAAATTCTGTTGTTGTTGTTGGGCGACGATGATCGTGGGATCGGATGCGCCCCGGCGTACCCGTATAGAGTACCCGCAAATGATTAGGGAGCCCCAGGAGTTCCTCAGGGTGACAAGCACCGGCCCCGCCCCACACAGAACAACGGGTAGCAAAACCATATACTCGGCCCCCAAATAAAACGCATAAGTCATCCAGTGCCCTCCGGCAGAGCAGAAGTCAGCCGCCCACCACGTCTGAGGGCACACCAGGAGCCCACCAAGACCCACCAACTCCCGGCACCTCTCGGCCAAGCCGGCGCCGGAAACCGTCATCCCGCCGGGAGAATCAGCCAGAAAACGTTCAAAATCTATCAACAATCCCGTGATACAAGGCGATATGTGCGCCAGACATCGATCGTACAAACCGGACCGTTGAATATAGATGCCAAACGGCAGTATCACATCCAAAATCACGAAAACAGAACGTGATCTGGCGGCTCCCAGGTGGAGGAAGTGTTCAGACGTCCGCTCGTCGTCAAGGTTGAACAAAATGGTTGAAGGAATCTTGGAAAGTAGTGGAAGAAAACGTTGATGACAGAGAATGTGTTCTAGTGTAGGGTAGACTGCAAAATTAAAATTAAAAATGAACTATTTACATTATTCCCGTTGTCGGGGACAATTAGGATTGTATATTGGTCTCCTCTAGATAGAGCTACTGACCATTCCCCAGGAGGCAACCCCTTAACAGTTGGCTAACTCGGGTACCTAGTAAACAGCGGCATTAGGTGAAAGAAAATGTGCCCAACCATTGATTGTTGCCGCCGAAGGCGGCTAGTTTATTGTGCACCCCATACTCATCCTGTGAGCGGTAGCGCAAAAGCATTACAGAGGGCACAAAAGGTCTTTATCAGACCTCATCTTAGATTATTACATAAAGAATTTCTTCAATCCTTCACACCTTATAGATACAATGTCAGCTAGTTACAGAGAAAGTGTTATTACAAGAGCTACATATTTACAGTAAGTCATCATACATTAATGGTAGTTCTTGTCGTTAATACATAATAGTTTGGCCAATGGAGATATTACAGAGTCATAGGGGAGCTTCTGTTTATTATTAGTCCTCACAATACACTACTTGTTTCTGAATCTCATATGTCGTTCATCTACTGAAAGCAAAATGTGGGTACAGTGCAAGGATTTCAGGTAATTTATCCATGGTAATAAGATAGGTTGCCATATCATACAGAGTGAGCTTAGATTTATCTCTAAAAGGCTCAATTTTACAACAATCCAAGATATAGTGTTCGAGTGTGTGTCCCTGCCTATGTCCACACACTTTACACTTTACTTCATCTAGATCCCAACCATTTCAGTCCCGCCCGGGAATCAAACCAGGATCCCAGATTGTGAGTCGAGAACGAAGCCAGCTTTACCAAAAGATCTCTAGTAGCTTTAGCAAGGTATAGCAAACTAGCAGCTCGTGAAAAAAAATTATTTCTTCTCTGGATGGCATTTCTTTTAGTATTGTTAACCCCTTCACAGCTACATTTTATTTTTCAAATTAATTTCCTCAAAACGATTTTTGTAATAGTAGATTCATTACTTTGTGTAACTTATCCTGATCCCTTCCAAGTGTTATATAGTCGTGATGGCTTGGCGCTTTCCCCCTTATAGTTCTCCTTCTCTCCTGTCCCCCACACTTGTATATTCCTCTTATGTTCGTTATACACACATTCGTTTGAATACAAATTTGAATTTGAAATAGTTGATGGGTATGCATACTACCGCCACTCACCACTGTACACAACACGAAATAATGGATATTAAGTGGATACGTTTTGATTAAGGAAAAAGTTCTGGGTAAATACTGGTTTGGAAAACCAGTATTTACTTGTGAGTTTTGTGAAAACTTGTGAGTTTTACCATTATACTCGCCCCTTCAAGTCAAGATGAAGCTTCATTCAGAGTTTGACATCACTCAAGCCATCTTGCCTGCTTTATCTCTCTAGAAACTCGTCTTGCTTCAGATATCACCGCTCTTAGCAGAGTTTCTCTCCACAAGTGACTGTTTTGAATGCACAGTTTTCGCGTGTTGACAGCACATTTTAATCTATAATTGAGATTATATCCATGCACCTATATGTCTGCCAACAGCTCTTTCCTGTAAGAAGCTTTAAGAAATCTTGGCTTCGTTTTCAACTTAGTGATGCGCACCTGAATTCAGTGTTCTAGGTTGCTATATTGCACAGTCATCAGCTCATACCTTTGATGCACTGTGCCAGACGCCAGGAAGCAATAATAACAGGAAATAGATAAAATATGTTATTATTATTATTATTATTATTATTATTATTATTATTATTATTATTATTATTATTATTATTCATAGCAAGAACTTCATTCTTGTCCCTGGAGGGGAGGTCTTTTTACCACGGCCCGCACCATGTAGAATCTAATGAAATCTGGGTTGTCATAGCAAATTAGTTTATCCCCCATCCCCACCTGGCCTAACTCAGTGGAGCCAACTCAGGATGAGCTAGAGAGTGAGCACCACCGCTTCTGCAGCTGTGCCTCTCGCAGAGATAAAGACTTCACACTCACCGCACGTGTAGGTGAAAGGAACACAGAATGGGTCATCTTTGACGCGTACGCAGCCAACCAGCGCCAACAGGGGCACAGAATAAACAACAGTGAGTTCATACATCGCCTGCGGAGACCCGATAGTATGTCCTTATTGGCAAGGTCCGCGCACCTCGGGCGGGTAATGAATGATCACTCAGCTCTCATTTGATTGTCTCAGTGTTGCCAATTACTATAAAATAGTTCACATATATATGACATAATAATGGTACGATCACCAGTATGTCGGAGATATATGTATAATATTGCATGAAATATTTTGTGACGTCCATTATTTTTATAGAAATTTGGGACTAAAGAGGAAAATTGTATTGGTCTACGAAATGTTATAAAATCAACCCCCCCCCCCATACATCTGTCCCCGTATAGCCTAATCATATACACCTCAAATGGTTTTCAAAGGACCAGAGGTAGTCACGATGATGCAAGATAAGATTGTGGCGTACAAAGGATCGGTATCTCGTGAAACAATAATCTAGATAAATAGTTGTGATATGCGTAGAAAGAATGGGTGACTCTCTCTCTCTCTCTCTCTCTCTCATCTCTCAAATATCCAAACAATAGTGTCAAGGTTCCCGGAAGAAACAAAATCATGTCAAATTCACTCTATCAGAGGAGACCCTAGGCTGCAATACCCTTATATATATATATATATATATATATATATTATAGCGGAAAAGATACATAATAATTTACACGTGGAAAATAGTAGAGGGGCTGGTCCCAAACCTGCACACAGAAATAACACCACATGAGACCAGAAGGCATGGCAGGATGTGCAGAATACCCCCGTTAAAAATCAGAGGTGCAACAGGTACTCGGAGGGAGAACTCTATCAACATCAGAGGCCCGAGACTGTTCAACACGCTTCCACTACACATAAGGGTCATAACTGGCCGACCTCTCACAGTGTTCAAGATAGAACTGGATAAGCACCTCCAAAGGATACCTGATCAACCAGGCTGTGATTCGTACGTCAGGCTGCTAGCAGCCGCGTCCAAGAGCCTGGTTGATCAGTCCAGCAACCAGGAGGCCTGGTCGACGACCGGGCCGCGGGGACGCTAAGCCCCGGAAGCACCTCATGGTAACCTCAAGGTAAGGTGTATATATATATATATATATATATATATATATATATATATATATATATATATATATATATATATATATATATAATATATATATATATAATATATATATAATCTCGCCAATCGGTCGAGAGTATTAAGGCGGGCTCAGGAGCTGGAGCTCAACTCCACAAACATCATCACATCAATCCACACACGCGCGGAGAGAGCTAGAGAAAGGAGGCAGAGGTAAGTAGCAGGCAACAAAGGCTGATCTAAGCAGCAGTTGTTGACCCAAGCGAGGATGTTGATATGTGACTGTCAGACACAAGCTACCGGCAGTGTTGTCGAGTAAGGCTGACTCCCAATACTTGGGTTGCACTGCCCACTGGCTATCGCTCTCCCTCTCCTAACACAAATTGCAATATGTGTATAATACCTGTTTTTTGGCGACTCGTCCTCCAAATGTAGCAGTGCCTACAACCGCTGTGGATTGTATTAACAAAATATGGATTGTTGTACCCAAAAATGTGCATGTTTTGTATCACTGAAATTATAAAGGAAATAGTGAAAACCAACACCTTAATTATAAATCTAACCTAACCTGTCAAAGGCCTAGATAACCTGACAACCTAGATAACCTGTCCTAGATAAGTAATCCTAGTACTAACATCAAATATTAGTCCTAATTCAGTAATAGGCTAGGAAAAGTTAGATTTGGTTTTTGCTTTTCTTCTCGTGCACTCTAAAAAATTAATAGTATAAAATATCGACCTTTTGGCATCAGTCTACATTATATACATTCCATCTATTGCAACTACAGGTACTATAAAAAAGTAGTATAATGCTTTTTCACTGGTAACGCCATACGACCAATCTTCTCCACTGATACGTTATGGTATCTTATGGTAACGAGCGTGCCAAATACAACGTGCTATGAAAAATATCGCCTCACAAAAAAAAAAATACATGTTTTCTATGCATGAGTTGGATAGGTCAGGTGGGTGGCCTGGGTTCGTTCGTTTCTGGGCTAGTTAGGACGTTGGATTTTGTACGTTGTGGCAAATCGAGAGAACGCGATGGGCATATGAGTGTGTGTAAGAGTAATAGGCTAAGCTTAATATAGGTTTCAGAGGCCACGAACTGTTATCAGTTGCTCTAGTTGAACGGAATGATGTTTTAATGATAATAAATTTCATAATTTGCTAAACTGTTACTAGGATACTACTTGGTTCTTACTCAACTAGTTGTAATTGGTGGTGGGGGGGGGGGGTAGCTACGGCTCTTGGGTCCCGCCTCTCAATCCTTAATCGACTAGTGTATAGGCTCTAAAGCCTATTAGGCTTTGTCATATCTACATTTAAAGTTGTGAATAGATTTTGCCTCCACCGCTTTACCTCATAACGCATTCCATTTGTTTAATATTCTGACGCATACACAATTATTTATAATATTGTTCATTTGGATTCTTAAATTTCATGTGTCCCCTTCTTCGAGTACTACCTCTGCTAAATGGTCGATTCTTGTCTGCCCTGTCTATTCCCCCTGAGTAATTTGTATGTGGTGATCATGTCTATTCCAGAATTTGTATGAAATAAACAAGCTCCTGGACGATTTTATGTTCAGATTGCTAAAGGCAGTTCTTATTTTGGGCCAACCTTCTAATTCCAACTAGTGATATTCATTTGATACCGGCTTCTGGTGACAGGTTCGGTGATTACGTTACTTGGTGTGGTGTAATAAGTGGTGCCAGGTGACTAGGCTAATTGATGTAGTTATAGGCGACTAGGCTACTTGGTGTGGTGACAGGCGAAGTATTTGGTGTGGTGAGTGGTAACTAAAACATTTCATTTGGTTACAGGTAAATATGATACTCGGGTAGATGTCATGACTGGTGACAAGAGTACTTGACTGATGTGGTGATTAGGATACTTGACAAGTATGATAAATGTTGAATATGATACATGGTTACAAGTGGGCATGCGACCAGCTGATACATTTGGAAGATGGCATGCGACCAGCTGATATGATTCATCAGGAAGTGGGCATACGACCAGCTCATGCATCTGGAAGTGGGCACGTGACCAGCTCACAGACCCAGGAAAGGTAAAAATACATAAAAAAAAATAAAAATTGGAGCACTCAAAAGTTCGCGGCCTTGCTGGGGAACCTTGTCCTTAAACACATGACTAACATCGTGAGGATCTGCGCTCTGTCCCAGCTTTTGTTTAAAACAATAAACTGTCTTTCCAGAATTCCGATTTTTCTTTCTCCAAATTAAAGTTCGGAAAATAATTTACTTTTCAGCCGATCAACAATTCCTTAACTGTATGAATATTGATAACAAAGATAAGGAAGATGTAGAATTCTGTCTTATATTTCAGTTATGGTAACACAACAAAGCCTAATAACGCAACAATAAACACATTATATTTAATATGTATCATCTTGAACACACCAGAATATCCATCTAGGCACATATTTTGAACTTGGAAATTTAGCGGGTCGTATTCCAGGGAAAATTAATAAGATTAAGGACCTGCTTGCAACGCTCTGCGTGTTTTAAAAGAAATATAAGCACTCTTGTATGTATATATATATATATATATATATATATATATATATATATATATATATATATATATATATATATATATATATATATATATATATAGCCAGAACGCACTTCTATATATATATATAATATATATATATAAATGATAGAGCATACACAAGAGTGTATATATATATTTAATATATATAATGTGTGTAAATCACGAAAAATAAACACGTGATTAAAAATGTGACAGTGTCAGACCACGGAAGAAAATTGAAACAGGAATTTCCTTAAGTACTTCCGTATATTAACTCCTTCAGAAGGAGTTAATACATATAATATATATTATATACATTAAAAAATAAATAAGATTGAGCCGAGATGGTGGCGAGCGCCGGCAGCTGGAGGCCAGTGGGCCCACGACCCCGGGAGGAGGATCAGTGGTCGTGTGAGCGGCGCGCGCATCGCACCTCCCATGTGAGGGTTCTCCGCTGGCCTCTCATGAAGCGTGGCTGAAATTCCCCTCCGTTAATATAAAGAGAAAGAGTAGCCCTACGGGTGACGCTGACAAGATTTTTTTTTATATGTGATCGGATACTCGTGTATCGAATTTGTGTTGCGAGTGTTTCGGTGTGGGGGGTGGAGCCTTTCGTTAAGTGCTAAAGGGAGGAAACACTTCAAGTTTCCTCTGGAGTAATGTGTACGTTGTGGCGAGGTCGTGCGTGAAGTGCTTCAAGACTGTCGTACGTCTTTGAAGAAGTGTTAACCGCGGGGGTGGGGGACATTGTACTAACTTATAAGTCTTCATGGCTAGTGGTGAACGGCTTGTTTCCCCCTAAATTTTTTTAGTAAGTGTGTTGAGCAAGTGGCAGCGTACCCATCTCTGGAGAGGTTGCTTGCGCTCCTTGGCGACATGGTGATGTGTGAGTAGCGTGTGCCTTGGTGCCCCTTCAAGGTGTGCCTCAAGCAGTCGAGGAATATTACCCCAGGATCTACACCATGGGGCCGGGAGACGCAGCATCCTCCCCCTGCAGGATGCTGCTGGCGGGGCTGATGCTGTTGTCCATGCTGCAGCCTGGAGCACAAGCTGTCATCGAAGAGAGAGGTGAGCAATCCCTACTTTATTTTTTTGTATTTATTTATATACAAGAAGGTACATTGGGTTTGTGAGAATACATAACATAGTACAGTAATTACACTCTTGTAAAGCCACTAGTACGCGTAGCGTTTCGGGCAGAATACCTACTTTATACAGAATACCTAGAATTTAGTATACCTACTGTCAAATGCTTTTTGCTGTCTACTTATGCCTTTTGTTTAAGGGTTTTGTATTTCAGCTGTATTGTGGTGATGAAGGGGTGGGGGGAGTGAGGGAGGGGACGGGATTATCGGGAGCAAGAGCCAAGCCATTACGACTATATAGCACTTGAAAGGGGTCAGGATAAGGATTTGGGATGGGACGGGGGGAAGGAATGGTGGCCAACCACCTGGACGGTCGGGGATTGAACACCGACC